CTTTCCGATAATGAAGACAGACATAGCAAGGGCGAAGGCCATGGCACAGACACCGAAAGCCCAAGCGTAACAGTCCTTTCCTCCAGCGAGATCGTAGCAGCTTCTGTTTTTAATGGCGGGGGTGATGAAACCGGCAGCAACAGCTCCGACGTTGATGGACATGTAGAAGTCTACATATTAACGGAGGATGTTAATACCGTTGGATGGGGATAGAGCCTGATTTCAATATGGATGTCGACTTACAGTTATAGAACTTGTTCAGTTCAAGCTTTTGCACAGACAAGAACTGATCACCACCGTGAGAGGACACACAGGGCTTGATACCTCCCGTGCCGAATGCGATGAGGAAGAGACCGAGCAAAGGGCCCCATTCGGGAACCGTTGGTGGTGTGCCGATCACACCGGGCTTAGAAAATATAGCCAAGAGAGAGACACCAAGGAGGTAGAAGGTGGACAAGGACACGATTGTCTTGTACTTGTCCAAGAAAGAGTCGGAAATCGCGGCACCAACAAGAGGGAAGAAGTAGGTGACGGATTTGTAAACGTGGACCATAGCTTCAGCCTTGTTGGACTTGTAACCAACAAACTCCTTGAGATAATCCTTGAGAAGAGGGTTGATACCGTAGAAACAGAATCGCTCTCCCATCTCATTGGGGATAATGAAGAAAACGGCCTTGGGGAAGGAGTTCGGGTTGGAAAGGATCTTCTCATCGAGGTCTTTGTTGAGCTTTGCCTCGAGCTCGGCGTGACGACGAGCCTCCTCGTCCATTTCGTCCAGTACACCGCCTTCAACTAGCCCGATAGGGTCTTTCTTTTCGTCAATAGTAGCCATCACTACTTGCGAACTATTGAAGGGAAGATTAGCTGCGATGTTCCATCTCGTCACAACAACAACTCATTCTTTTACTACCGACCTTGCGTTAATGAGGTTGGGAACAGTTTGGTAATGAGGGTGAATGCAGCTAAAGAAAGCACCGACCAGCGGGCAAGTTTCAAGACGACAACAAAAGGGAACAACTGGATGGAGAGCAACCGGGCTAAGGGAGGAGAAACTGGGGGATCGTCCTATTTGTAGGAACTTTTTGTAACTTAAAACACCAATTCAAACCCCCACTTTGAGTTGCGCTTGTCTCCGCCAGAAGTCCATATCAAGCGCGCAAAGTAAAAAAAAAAGTAAAAAATCGACAATCGCCAACAATTGAAAAAAGAAATTCCGGCAAAAAGTATGCGCCTTATCTCACGTCTTTTTCAAAAAGCCACAACAAGGGGCAGCGGCTCTCCCCACGATCAAACAACCGCAAAGTTTTTTCCATCCGCGCGTTTGTGGAAAGTGCACATTTCGGGTGGAAATGACGGAGGGTGACCCCAAACGTCCCCCGTTCCCCCTCTGCGCGTCTCCTCGTGACTATAGACGGGGGTGGCAAAAGCATGTAAAGTGTGGCACAGTGCCAATATCAATCGGTAGAATTTTGCAGTGCGCAGATGTACGGTGACACCATTCCGTGTTTGCGGGGATCGCGCAAGCTTATCTTACTTTGGGTGGGAAAAGCTGAAAAGAGTAGCCCGTGTCACAGCTGATCAAGTGGGCACAATCCAACCCTTTTTGGGGAAAACGACGGGTTCTAATCCATAGATATGAACAAGAGTGGGGGAATTTGCTGGAGAGCCATCGGGCTGTGTCTCATTGTCAGGCGGATGTGGGTGGCACTTTGACGGGATAACGAGACATGGGGGCTATCTGAACACCCCAAGTCAAAAGAAGAACCCATGAACGTGCTCGAAACTGCTGAACTTGGGAGGCACAAGGAGGAGTCTGTGGTTTTTCTGGTTATCGCCGCACACTGCTACATAGCAATTCCGACTGTGCCTATTGATGCAGAGCAAGATCAATCTTTATATTTGCCTATATTTGAATGCTGAACATAAGCTTCCTTAGCTCAGTTGGGAGAGCGTTAGACTGAAGATCTAAAGGTCTCGTGTTCAATCCACGAAGGGAGCATCTTGTTGCTGTCGGGTTCTTTTTTGCATTGGAGCTAGATGTTTTCTTGGCCACGACTTTTTTTGGGGAATTTTGTCACCACACCAAAGCGATCCTGTAGTTCCCCACCCAGTCACTTGTTCATTACCTCAAACTGCCGTTGAAATTATGGAATTTTGATGAAACGCAATGCCCGTACTGTAGGAGAATATCTCAAACACAAGGACCGCTGAATCTGACTCAGAATAATTGCATATTGTAAGATCACGCGACTACATTCACATGCTAGAGCTACATTCCTGAATTGTCAATAAAAGCAGTAAAAGGAAAAGTGGCCATAAGAAGGGCTACATTTTACTGGTGTAAGTTAAGAAAGCTGTAAAATGATGAAAGTAAATTAGACGATAATTTCGACATATGACGATGTTCCCTTATGCTTCTTACCCGACGAGTTATGATAGAACTTCTTGATCACCTTTCTTTCTCCGGCCGATTTTCCACCATTTTCGATGTCCCGTCTTCTTTGATGATTTCCTTGCTGGCTCAGATAAGGAAGATTCCGTATTAGGTTGTTCATAGTTCAGCGTTGTTGATGTATCAGATTGCCCATCTCGCTTCAGTACGCGCACTTCGGCACGGGATGAGTCCGCTGGAACTTGGACGACAACATTGGCAATATGATGAAGATGGAGGTATCTGTAGAAGGATAAAGAACCCTATTAGTGCATGACCCCACAATGTTCTAGGTGACCAAACCTACTTGACTGTCCGAACCAAGCCTTTGGGCGACAAAGTCACAAACGAGAACCCATGATTATTTCTCCACTGTTGGCCATATCGATGCCAAGCATGTTCTATGCGCTGATACCAAACGACATTTACATTGCCATTCCCACGCTCCCCTTTATTCTCTTTCCACAATCTCACAAAAATATCTTTGGGAAACATGCGATATCGGGACATGACGCCCGCTTCAACAAGACCTTTTGATATCCATCGAGCACAGTTGCCACGTTCAGGAGATGGAAAGCAGCGTCGCGTCAGGTTCAATAGGGGTCCCAGCATGGTACTGAATGCCGCTTCGTGGTTTTCTACTGCCTGACGAACGGAAACAAAGTAGCTGTGGAGGGCGTGGATTTGGGCTGCAGGGAGGGATTCGATGCGAATGGAAACAACGTGGCGAGAATATATTCCGCCTTGTTCGCGGCTTGCCTAAGTGGGTAGGATATGGAACGGTTAATCAGCTGCAAGACCAGCGTACCATCAACACTGTATATATCCCACTGACTCGCCCAATGTCGGACTAACCTCACCCTACCTCTCCAATCCCATACAAAAAGTCCACGGGATCCCATATCTCCACAAGCTTGCACCCCTCCTTCTTGGTAACATTCACCAATATTTGTTGCCCATTCGGGAGGGTATATCGTAATGCGGAATGTCCGAACGGTCGCACTCCAATACTTAAAAAGTTGCGGAAGATAACAAATGATGTATACGGTTCAAAAAACAGATATTCTAGAGCTGGTGGGCTGTCGCGATTGAGTGCCACTGAAAGTGGAGAGTGTGAACAATATGAGAGCTGAGGACGCTATCACAACTCAACAGATACCATCGATCTCATGAAATATCGTTTCTATATTTGATATCGGCTTGGTCAGCCCCAAAATGTCTATACCGTCGCTGGCCGATGATCCTACTCTGACAACTGTACGATGCTCACACTCCGTTAGACCATCGGCAGAGGGACGTTCAGCGGTCGCCATTGCGGAGAGCAAGTGGTAAAAAGCTTCCTCTAGCAATCACTTTAGGACGATGACATCATGAGTCGCCCAGTGACTGCGTACGTTAGGGCGGCCCAGCAATCCAAAAAAGAGTCCTCTGTCGACCAAGATATGCTCCCTTCGTGGATTGAACACGAGACCTTTAGATCTTCAGTCTAACGCTCTCCCAACTGAGCTAAGGAAGCCTTGAAAAACATTTTACCGGAGTGCGACAAGTCCTAGATAGTTTCAGTGACACCCATGTGATTCTTCTGTAACCTCGGTAATTTTCGGGTAGGTGAAAAGAGTTCGATCGGAGTTTCTCTATCTTGTCACTAGCTTTACATATCGACAGCCTATTCACTCATGAAATGAGCCGTTCCGCAGATGCCTGTGTGGGCTCTTCCCACGCAGTGGCGCACCTCTTTGACCATTTAGTTGATTCCGGGAGTTCCAAATTCCGTTTGGGCGAGTCCAGTTCAAGTATTGCTCGAGTTGCCGAACCACCGCTTCTGGAGCAGAATGGCTGGAGCCATAGGGGCCGGCTGGATGTGAACGGATGGGGAAAGGAGTTTGAGGAGTTTGATAATGGAAATACTGATTGGAAAAAGGGTGCTGCCCGACCTGTTCCCTCAGAAGAACGACAGTCGCTACAACCACCGTCGAACTTTTTGGCGGACCAGTGGACCCGGGAGATGGTAGAAGAGGAAGAGGAGGAAGAAGAGTACAGTACAGAATGGGGCGACGAAGCTTTTACGATTCAGTATCTAAAATCGCACCCGCCACCGCCTCAACCACCGCAACCCCAACTTCATCTTCACCCTCCTCGTTCTGACCTCACCGCATCATCTCTCATCGACGAATTTCTCACCTCGCCCTCAGTAGGATCTAATGATTTGAAATCCTTCTACGAAGCCATCGAAGAAGCAGAGGCCTCGTATTGGGACAGTGCACCAAAATCCCGACCGGAGTGGAACTGGGATCTGGTGTTTCGTCGAGTAAGTGAGCTGGAAGAGGGCAATGCTCACCTTGGAGGTGAACCTGCCGACGCAAGTGAGATCTCGAAGAGAAGACTGCGACTGTTATTGGCTCAGCTGACTGGATCTACCTCTGCTGCTAGTTAGTTATTCGTCGTGTACATTCCTCATTAGTTTGTTTGCCACATATGTGATGTATTTATAACTTGGTCATGGAAATATGAGCGCGGAATATGGCACTATCTTGGGATATGGAGGAGAGGAATATTATAACTGTGCAAAGGGGCTTTTATTTAATGGTGGCTCTTATTATAATGGGTAATATATATGTAACCATCTCATCATCATCAGCGGAGAATTCTCGCATCCCAAAATCAGGTTTACTGTACACTATAATCCTAGCAATTCAAATAACACTGGGATGCCTTCTGTAGCCAGCCATCCAATCCCAGAGTACACAATCAGTTTCGTGGCAATATCCACATCATATCGGGGGAGCTTGAATCGGTTGCGTTCGCTAGTCGGCAGGTGAAGCAAAGATGGTGCAAAGCTCCCAACATGCGACGACGGAATGGACTGGTAGTCCCTAGAAGATTTATACTTGCGTTAATGACCAGGAAAGACTTTGACGGGGCAGGTTTGACTCACTTGTCGGCAAGAGCAAAATACTTGCGTCCGAAGGGAAATGCCAGTAGCCGGTAAAGTGGGGGTAATAGTGCATAGCAAATCCGTTTTACGGATAACCGCCACGCAACAATTATACTAACACCTGGGTTATGACAGTAGTAGTTAGTACATAATCGTTCGTTCGGTTTGCGAATCCGAACGCACCATAGACCAGCCTTTGTATCACCATTATAGGTCCCAGTGCAGCTGATTTGCTGGTGGCTGTGTATCCACTTGATGCCACATATATGGCGTGATGCCAGTTACCAATGGTCAAACCCATCACCACGCCGACAAATGCAACTGAATCATCAAAGCACGGGCAAGGGCCGTCCGGGTCAGGATGAATACTAATTAGAAGGATGCAGATTGGAACAATGATAATAGGAACTAGAAAAGACATTGGTCAAGAGGGGTTTTGACTGATCAAAATGGTGTCCCGAAGAAAACCTTACCGGTCCAACTTGTCATCAACCATTCCTCCATCATCGGCATAGTCCACAGCCAATGTATCACCACTATTCCGCCTCCAACCACTGCCCCACCGAGAACATCCAACAAAGTGTGCATCCCAGTAACGATTCGACTGATTGCAATCAAAATGGAATACAATGTAAGGACTGCCAGGACATTACGTTGACCATTGTCTGTCCATCCATCTGACCAGTGTCTTAGAAAAAAGAGCCCTGTAAAAAGCGATAAGGAAACCGCATTGGCCGTGTGTGTTGATGGGAAGCCGTACTCAGCATCGATGGACCGTGAGACGGAAACGCGTGCGACTGGTGGAGAAAAGGGTCGAGGAAGACCCAGGTAATCCTGCCAATATTCCATTCAATCTTTGCATCGCGGAGGTTCGTTCTTGCGGAGCAATCTTACCTTGACGGCACCTGACAAGTAAACGCCCGCTGCCAACAAGAGGACGAGTGATCTCCCGTACACTCTATTAACATCCACGCTTCGCCCGTGTACGTCCATCATAGCACCGCTTTCGAACCAAAAGAGCATGGGGAGCAGCAGTAGAAACGCCGTATGTGTTCCCAACGCGCCCAAATACTTGAAACAGGCATCTACAAGCGGCGATCGTATCCTTCTCTGCAAATTCGCGATTCCGCTGGTTTCGTACTGGATGATGGGAAGCAAAATAGAGCGGAGGGCAGATTTCAGTCGTGGAAGAGGGTACGTGGGTTGGACTGAATTGGAGTGCGGTGTGACGTGCGCCGCTGGTGCAGTATTATATGGAGGAGACGGCAGTCTAGACTCTGGTGATTTGTCGTTCAAAGCTTTTACGTTGGAAGAGGTTTGAGTTGTGGCAGAACCCTTTTGTCGCTGACGGGCGTCTGTTGAAGCAAGAGGCGACCTCTCCAGTGCCATCTTCGACATTCCGTTCGTTCGCATCGTGCAACAACGTTCGCGATATGCAATGCAATTCAGTGAGCCGGTCTCTCCACCGTATGGCCACTGTTCGTTGTTTTAGTCAACGCAATTTTCGAGGGTGAAAGCGGAGATTCAAAAAGTCGCCCCGAAAAGCGGCTTTGTGAGCAATCCAAAAAATTACAACCAACGCGATGTTGCATTTTTGTCCATCGATTGATTCTGCAATGTAACCTTTTATAGGTTAATGAACAGATCTGTGCACAGTCATGGAAATGCGTTCTTGTGCAACAATATGTCGTGTGATCTGCATCAAAGGCATAAGGTAAGGTTTCTCCGCCCAAGCCGAATTCCGAATACCGCTTTAGCCGACTCACCACCCATCCAAAAAGAACGTCAACAAGGCAGTTTCCGCCATCAAAGTTTTTTTTTTTTTTTTGGAAAACCACACTTTTCAGTGGTATCGCAAGACGGTATGCAGCTGAGCGTAGCTATTATCGGGGCGGGGTAAGTGGGCATGGGATATATGCACGTCAGAAACCATAGTTCTGACATTATTCCTCCCTGTAGTGCCTCTGGACTATGTGCTGCTATTCAACTCATAAAGAAGCTCGGGCTCACTTCGTTCACCATTTACGAAAAATCAGCCGATTTGGGGGGAACCTGGTAGGTTTGACACACACATTGACACGGCATATTTGAAAAATGGACGTCAAGAGTGATGCAAAGAGCGCATTTTATGGAAGTGTAATGATGGCCGCCCTGGTAAATAGCGTAACCCAATGGGATCTAACGAGTATGTGATTCCGACCTCTGTAGGTTTGATAACAAATATCCTGGATGCGCATGCGATGTTGCTTCGCATTTGTACTCTTACAGCTTTGAGCCAAACCCAGGTAACTGCCGAACGGTTAGCCTCATGTTGGCTTCAGTGTTAACTACCTCTTTCTTAGATTGGAGTCAAGCGTTCTCTCCTGCAGATGAAATCAGAGAGTATTTCGCATCTGTCGCCCGCAAATATGGCTTGATTGAACATATCCGATTTCGGACCGAAGTTGTCTCCGCTCGATGGGATGCTGAGCAAAACCTATGGCGTCTGAAGCTGAACATTGCGGGCGATAATGGCGTCATCAAAGAGGTTGATGCCACCGCGAATATCCTGTTGTCTGCAGTAGGCGGATTGAATCGGCCGTACTACCCTGAGATACCAGGATTGAATGACTTCAAAGGGCCTACGTTACATACAGCCATGTGGGATCGGGACGTGTCACTGAAAGGGAAGAGAGTTGGGGTAATTGGGAATGCTGCAAGGTATGTGTGACAAGTCGATTTAAACTCTGACAGCTCATTTTATCTGTCTGACTGACAACTGTAGTGGGGCGCAAGTAATCCCAGAACTGGTGCCTATTACGGAAAAACTGGTCGTATTCCAACGGACGCCCAACTGGGTGCTTCCGCGATACAATTACAAACACCCGAAGTTCTTGAAGTTCATCTTCCGGTACATTCCTGGTGTACAAGCACTGTGGCGTACTATTCTTTTTGCGCGGGTACGTAATGACTCAATGCCCATAGCCCACTTTCTAATCTCAAATCTTCAAAACAGAGAGATCTCTTATTTGGACTTGGTGCATTTCGTCCTGGAGGGATTATCTCCAAAGCTGCTACCGCACGATTTGCAAAGTTCATGAAAGATCAAATCAAAGATCCCGAACTCCAAACGAAACTCATTCCAAATTATGCGGTCGGCTGCAAGCGCGTTATTCTAAGCAGTGACTATCTTTCCGCTATTCAACATCCCACAACTGTACTAGTTACCGACCCTATATCGCGAATTGATGAATATGGGGTTGTGACGGCCGGCGGAAACCGGCATGACGTGGATGCGCTTGTACTTGCAACTGGATTTGTGACGCAGGATTCTATGGGCCATATAGATGTCGAGGGCCGAGATGGTTTAAAACTGAAAGCCAGATGGGAAAATGATCCCGAAGCGTACCTTGGAATGACTGTCAACGGATTCCCCAACTTTTATACCATCCTGGGACCGCATTCTGGCTTGGGACATTCTTCGGTTCTTACTATGATTGAGTAAGTTCAAAACCCTGTTCGCAAAGTTTCAATCGTTCGTCGTGTTCAACATATCTATGAAAGGTGTCAGGTCAACTACATCGTGCAGATGATCAGCACACAGCTCGCGACCAAAACGCTAGCAGTCGAAGTTCGTCGTGAAGCCTTACAGGCATTCACAGAGAAGATTTACAAAGCCATGGAAACAACCACCTGGAATGCAGGTGGTTGTCAGAGTTGGTACAAAAACAAGTCAGGGAAGGTCACTGCGTTATGGCCTCACACTGTATTTTGGTACTGGGTGCAGACTTTTAGACCGAAATATCGTGATTTCAAACCTGTGGTTCGTATTTAAGATTGACAATCATTTTCGAAAGGTGAACCCCGTCTAATACTGATTCTCAGATGAAGCCGCCGCGGTCGATTATGTATCATATTCTGACCGTTATCCTTGCAATTGGATTATTGCGGCGGTATACAGTGGAAAAGTTAGCTGGATACTGGATCGGTTACTGAATGACGACATTGCGTCTTCTCATGCCAATGGACAGTTTTGTGGAAAGTACATATAGGATATTAGTGCTTGGGGATTGGTAGCTTTGGTATGAAATGATATTTTGGGATTTGTATAAACAATATATAGTTACATTCAGCCATACTAAGATGCTCTTGAGTCGCTATTCCTCACTCGTCATTCACGAATTCGCGCAATAACTCGTCCCAGCTAACTGCCAATTCGCCGTCTGAGGTGCCGTCAGGCTATCCGCCTATCCGTCGTATTCGGTCGACCACCGTTGTTGCCCGTACAAGTACTATCTATTTATAATAGGGCATTGTGTCTGTCAATTAGTTCAGCATTCAGCATATTGATGTAAAAATGAGTTCCCGCTCGTCACCGACGCAGCATCAAAAAAGTTACGGTGAAACGACCTCAGAGTCCGGCCTCCCAGATTCGAACTGGGGACCCTTAGATTGCTGAATCATTACAGTCTAATGCTACTGCCAACTGAGCTAAGGCCGGATTGATTTTCAAAGTCACTTAGCGAATAATGATAATTTCAGTCTCTGTGCATAAATTGTATTCGGTAATGCTGTCCTGCATTTTAGCATTTCCATTAACTGTATCCCCTAATGCACCATGGATAATAAAAATCAAAAGATGAAATCTACTGCCTGCAAACAACCCGCCACATCGTGCCCGCTCAATGGTGCCCTATTGAATATGTGTATCCAGTGTTCAAGTATTGGGGGCGCTGTCACTGGCCATCACACAAGTGGCAAGCCCCTTCTAATCCACATCATGCCAGCCCATCAGTAACTCGCGTTCATATAAAGATGAGTATAGATATGAGGAGATTTCGCACGCAAGTTGCATTATCAATTTAATCTTCGTCACGTTGAAAAAAGACAGTCACATACCCTACGCCAATGGGAAGGCCAAAGAAAATAAAATCGGAAGAACTCGTTCTGGAACAGGATGAGAACGAGCCAAGAAGCAGTACATCAGTTCCACCGACGCCCAAACGCAAGAAATCCACTGACGCCAGTGAGGTAAGCACTTTGCTTATTAGATCCTGCCAGATCCATCCTATTGTTGTTGCCCACGACAGCTTTGGCTTTGAATACGTATCTATCAGGGGCAATCCAAGGCACTGCTCAAACCGGGAAAAATCTGGCAACCGGAGGAAGATGCCACGATCATCGAACTGGTAAAAGAGCATGGAAAGCAATGGGGAAAAGTAACTGAAGCATTCAACAAAATATACGGCGTTACCGAGTCGCAAGTTCGCAATCATTGGCATAATTCATTGAAGAAGAAGATCGCATCTAGTAGCGAGCTTGACAGTGGCGAAACATAGTTTTATGCAGCGATGATGACTAGATGATGCATTCGCGACTCGGGCGATGTGGAAGTTAATGTACTGCTTATGATCTTCGTAATATGATCAGCCTTATGGAATGTGATAAGGGTAAATGTTTACGGGATGTGAAATCAAAATGAGCAACAGGACTCGGATGAAGCTGCACAAATCTCCGACTTTCGTCGGTGCCCCAGGTTACATAGACTTGCTTTCAGGGAGGAAAATGTCGAGCCCCCAGAATTTTAAATCACATCCATCACCTCCTGCATCCGCCGAAGGAGCATCGCAAACTGTTGAAAATATTCAATCTAATCAATCGAATTCATCAGCGTTACCGACCACACCCGGAGCTTTGCAAAAGAACTTGAGGGTGCGGCAAACCGAGAATCTCACAGTGCGCGTACAAGGCCCTGCGCAATCTTCTACATCATTACCGCCACAGTCCGGTTCCGGTTCCTCTCCACCACGTTATTCTCCAGGCTCAAATCCTCTCCTCAACGAACAGTCGCCCAACACTGGGGCGCCAGGTACGGCGAAGCCTCCAGAGGATGAGTTTGACTGGTTTCATGTGGAGACCGATGCCCAGCCGGAGGAGGAAGAAAAAGAATATCGGGCAAAAGGTTTATTTGGCCTCGATTGTTGCTACTTACCAGGGTGGGCGCGTTTCTTTGTGTACTTGTTCTCCGGTATTGCGTTGTTTGCGACACCGGCGCTCGTGAGCCTAATTATCTGGAATCCTGGAGACCCAGGAGTGTTTGATTCGGTATCATCAAAATCCGATTTACGTGTCAGTACTGAGGTTGCAAGATGGTAGAATCACGAATATATGACATTACTTTGCTTGATACTGACACACGATGCTCGCATAGGTCATGCTGGTTGGGTGCTACGTGGATTAGTTGGGTGGTGCTATGGTACTTTATCGATGCACTACCCTACCTCATCGTAGTATTTCTGAGCAAGCTGTTTGGTGGATACAGTGAGCGTGCTCGTGCTCGATTAGAGGTAATTTCGATATGTCGTTGCATGTCATGCACGTTGGCTTACCTTTAAATTGTAGTACATGGTCGCAGTGAAGCTTTTCCTAACCATTACCTGCTGGGCAATTTTGACCGTCGTGTCCTATGCTCTACTATTCAACCAAATGCAGCAGGTGGATTATTGGGAGACAGTCTTTCATGTTTTGGTGACGGGAATGGTGTTTGCGATCTGCCTCCTGGTGCACAAACTTGTGTTGCAGATTATTGGTAAGTACGATGTGACCATGCCAATTTTTCACAGCATTAGATGCTCAATTTACGTTCACTGGCCCCATTAGCGGTTAATTTCCATAGGTAAAGGTTTCGCGTTACGTTTGACAGGCATTAATGCTCATCTGGTTCAATTTCATCTGCTGCAGAGTCGCATACCGGGATCGCATTGCAGAATCGAAGCATCACATGAGAAGTAAGTGAATGTACTCAAAGTTGAACTGTAAGATTGAAATAAGACAGCAGCTGACTCCATGGAAATTCCTTACTTCATAGTTCTGGACAATCTTAAAAAGTCCATCAAAAGTCGCACCTTTGCCGAATTCTTTGTTCCTGCGGAGCTTAACACCGCCAAGGGACGTTCTCAGGGGGTGCTGGAGGAGGACAATACCCGGGGCGAAAGAACCGACACACTACCTGCAGTTGATCAGTCGCCTAGAAAGAGGACACGAAGATCAGGGTTCTGGAAGATGGTAGTATCTAGACGTCGTACTGGCTCTTCTACTACCGAGGACGCCAGCTCGGCGATGGAAATGATAGAGACTTCCGATGAGACATCAGACGTGGGGCTCGCGAAGCTTAATACAACATTTGATGTCATTGGACAGCATGCTGAGGAAGAGGAAGTGGTCAAGTCATCGGCGCTTGCATCCAACGAGCTCATCACAGCGCCACAGGTTTACGACTTGGGGCAAACCACGACCGTAGAACAATCAGGGACAATGAGGCGATTATCAAGCTCCAGCGTGAGAAACCCAACGCCAAGATCTGCCCCACGATCTCCAGCTATGACACCATCAAAGATGTTGGACGCAACGGACCTTGGTCGTCATAGTCGCCATTCGACGAGACTTCCGTCTCTTCTTAGACCTAGGTCTCGTGCATCTTCTGTTCATCAACCCATCGAGCAAGGGGTTCCTGAGTCACTACATTCACCAGATACCTCCAATACGCTGAACAGCATTATGAATCCACCCACTTTTCATGGACATAAATATATTAGAGAACTGGCAAGAATGGACATCACAAGCAATATCCAAGCAGGAAAACTAGCGAAAAAGATTTTCATCGGCCTTGGTGGCAATGAAAAGGGGTACTTGACTCTAGATGACTTAGTATGGTAAGAGAATCAGTTTTGGACCATACTGGGTTGACTCCAGCTAGGCCTTCTCACATTTAGTCTATACATAGCACCTTCTCAAGCCCCACTGAGGCTGCAGATGCCTTTGCTGCTCTCGATCAAGATGGGAACGGATCTATTACGCGCAAGGAGGTCAAAGAGGTCGTCATTGGGATGTATCGCGAACGCCGTCGATTGTTCCGAGCGATGCGAGATTTGTCGCAAGCACTTGGGAAACTGAACACGTAGGTATCGCGCTGTGTTAGGATAAGCACTTGATCCGGTCGAGTAACTTCGTGTTGGACCTGTCAGGTTTTTCTATTTTGTAACAAGCTTTGTTACCTTCTGCATAGCACTGCCGATTTTCGGAATATCACTCACCGCAATGCTACCGTTTACAAGTTTCATTTTGGCTCTTAGTTTTGTATTTGGTAACTTTCCCGATCGCTACACAGCACCGTTTTTTCTGCCACTGACGTGCTTGTTTGTAGGGACGGCAGCCCGTACGGCATTTGAGTCACTTCTGTTTCTCTTTTTGACACATCCGTATGACGCTGGTAAGCAGATCTATTCAATTCCAGCTCGCTGGCAAAATCACACAACTCATAGAACGTAAGGTGACCGAGTCGTTATTGACAATCAAAATCTGCTCGTTGAGGAGGTTGGAGTTTTAACTACGGTTTTCAAGAGGTTGGATGGACAACTTATATATGCGCCAAATAGTATGTCTGGACAGCAATCATCGTCGTATTGGACACCTACCGATACCAGTGATTATGGTTGCAGCTTTAGTGGCGTCCAAGTTAATTCACAATCTCCGGAGGTCGGGTGATCAGGTACGCTCCTAATGAGGGTCCGATGTATCAGCCGTGATAGTTTCTTCGCTGAAATTTCCCTTGTTTAGTCCGAAAGTATCGAGCTTCAACTCAGTAAGTATTCCGTCATCCCCAGGCGAACCATTTCGCTGAATACTTATGCTACCACTCAGATTTCGACACTCCTGAAGAGAAATTACGAGCGCTGAAGGAGCGAATGATCGACTTTGTCAAATCAGAGCCCCGAGAATTCCAGGGAGTTTGCGATATCCACATATCAGAGATTGAAAACCTGAATAAATTAAAAGTTAACGTCATTTTGAAGCATAAGGGCAACTGGTGAGGACGACAATGAAAATTGAAAGATAACGGGTCGCTGACAGGTTCTTGTGGAAATAGGCAAGATGGATCCAAGCGATGGAATAGGAGAACTATGGTCTGTGTGAAATTTCGCATTCCGATTGCACAACCCCTCACTAACTGCTTAAAACAGTTCATGTTTGCCCTGAAGAAGAATCTGCTCGAACTTGGGATACGCTATGCAACTCCTCCGCAGCATAAAGCACCGGAAGTAGCGGCGCCAGTACTGACGGCCGGAAATAATTTTGAGCAAAATCAGTCTCTCGCAGTCCCGCAATCCTTTGCTAACGGAATGAACACCGCCATATAATTACTTATTTTATTTATCGCTAGACACTGGCTTTTTCTGTAGATAATATACTCAATCCCTCAGTGCGACGATCTTGGATTTCAGTAGCCGAAGTCATAATGTAGCAAAATCAACTATTTACTATTTACTTGAACAAACTCGTTAATTTTTGTGGTGAGCTGGACCTACGAACATAAGCATCGCTAAAAGCTGAGGACCAGAACAATTTCATATAGTATTGCTGATTTACTGGATCGGATGCCAAATGAGTGTATCAAGAAAGTAAGCGATCTTTAGGAGTATTGGACGTTAGACTACCACAGTATATATTTGCGCGACAGCCACCCGCCGTACTTTACACAAATCAATAGGAGTATCTATAGTAATTACGTGTACTCAATATAAGGTCCTCATTGTCAAATCACACTTAGTAATAGGAGCCGATTGATCTCTACGCGACTATGGAATGTCAGTCCATCGCCACAACTGCCGCTAGTGTTTCCTCGAGTCCTCTAGCAGAAGGATATGTTACGAGTGAAAGAGATAGTTGGGACTTCTAAGACTCACTCTATCAAGGCTCGCCTCTTTTTCCTGGCAATTGCCATCATATTCTCTGCATCGGAAATTTGAGACTGCAGTCGCTTTAACTCTTTTACCATTAACTTCTCTCGCTGGTCGTAACTCCTTTTCACTCGTAATGCTTTTGCATCCCAATCACGTTTCACAAGACGCTGTCTGATCACGGGTGGCAACAGAGAAGCAAGGCCCTTCTGTTGTTCATGTAACAAAGCTAACCTGCTGCCTGCTTCACGCAATGTATCGGTTACAACAGACATGACAGACTGTGCTCGTTCGAGAACCTGATGGCCATCTGGCTCTATGGGTTTCACGTCCAACTCTGGGCAGGGCGTGAGGGAATGCCGAATATTGTCCGGCTGCTCAACATCCGCCTTGCCGAATTCAGATTCCACGTCTATATCATATTGCCCATCTTCGCACCGGTCGGAAACGCTCAAATCGGTAAAGTTTTCCAAGGGCATTTCCAATGTACGGATGAAGGTTGGTGCAAAGATATCTAACCCCGCGAGTTCGGATACAGAAGTAAACTCTGCGGTTACCGTATCTCGCTTATACCTGGGTCCATCAATCGTGGCTACATGATAATGACCAGAGCAGTTTTCCCCGAGTGTAATTGAGGGCAGTGTCTCCGGATCGCTGACAACGTTTCTCATATCGGCGAACCATCGTCGGACACGTTCGTCGACGAAACCCCACTGCTCCTGCTTGGCAAGATTTCCGCATAAGGGTAGCCACTAAACGCAGCACACCTTAAGAACTCACGGCCGCATGTGTTTCAGTAAGGGCCCCTGCGAAAAAGTCCTACAAGAGCGACCGTCTAACGCTGAACAAGGAAATGACTTTGCATCAGAACGGCAACCATACCGACACATTCTGAAGACGTTTCAAGGTTAATCTATGCCAAAAAAAATTATCTTATTAGTGGTGTATTTGGGTCGGCAGCGACGACAACGGACAATGGTGACTTCTCGGTGCAGATAACTTCTGTTGTTGATCTGGCTTGAAATTCTCGGCTTCCTATGGCAGTGAGTACGTAAATCTGTTCTTCCGCTCGTTTGAGTCTGTAGCAAAGCTTCAGAAGTTGCCAACTCGATTAGTCTCAAAAAAGACGCCCACATTTGGTATCCAGTTGGGTAGGCATCTGCACGGGACATAAACCGGCCGAGGGCAATGACTGCAGTCGTTGTACTCAACCAAACGGGCTGTGCGAGTATTCTCGATTTCTCTTCAGCGAAACTCAGGCTGGACAAGGATCGCTCATCAGGCAGAAGATTACATTTCTGGCCTGCTCCCCCTACGTTACTCGAAACCATTTTGGTGGCAATTAGCGCTGGATCTTCGCGTATGCTCTTCATCTTGGTTTTACGCTGATGCGAGCCTTAAGAAGGGTTTAGTGCCTTTGCCCCAAAGGTCAGTGGTTATAATTCCTACCTGAAACAGCGACATCGACCTCCGACATTTGCTCCAGTAGCTGCACAACATAAGGATGGTCCAATCCCATGATTGTATGTCCATCTGATACAATTCTCTCATTGCTTCGCCCTTTTCCTTTAAAATTTCAAGCACAGCCCTCCACGCCTCTTGATGCGAACAGAATGAACGAATGCACAGTATGTCGAGCCATGCAATTGCTCACCTGTCACCGTATTCCGAACAATTATTCGTGCGGGTTCGTTCCTAATTATCATATGCACTTTATCTCTTTCAACGAGGGATGTGCATTCAAATCCAAGAATGGTACAAGAGCTAGTTGTGCAAAGAGACGTTACAGCTGCGCAGGATATGCAGGGATCTTGAGGAACCTACCTTGCAAAACCAGACGGAAGCGCAGCGTTGTTAATAAATCTTCCCAGAGAGAGAATACGAAGCTTTGAGTTGGTCGTTGTGGATTTCGTTTCTATGTCCAAACAAATAGGGATATATGGTTTTCTTGCTGCAGCATCTTCCCACACTAACGTGGACAGGTCAGGTACTATATATGTCGGCTTTCCAAAGTCAACAGGCATCAGGATCTCCGATTGTCTTAAGGGAACTGTAGTGGAATTAGCAACAAAGGACCGATCCTACAGAATTTCTCAACAAATAGTTCAACTGGTTAGCATGACGTGTCAAGACGTCGCCAGATGCTAAGCACTCAATTGTAATTTTGACAAGAGTTTTATTAAGTGGTTTACGCTTCCAAAGCTGAGGTTTCCCTATCTTTGTCTAAATCTTCAGCCTGCACAAACTCCTGATCGGCCCCTGCGACAATCGCTTCCAATCCCCTCTTCAAGCTGTTTATTGCATTTTCGAGAGTATCGACCTTTCTTGAAAATTCTTCAGATTCTGCAGCGTCGTGGGTTCCGCCACGTGAGGCGATCCACGCAAGAACGACTGATTTACCGGCGGAAAAGAAGGCATCGGTGGCCTTCAAGACAGCGTCCACCACGGATACACTGTTTTCGGCAGCTCCACCAGTGCGTCCCGCGGTGTCTTGAGCCTCAACTGTCAACTCATCCGGTGCAGCTCGAGCTAGTAGCTCTGTTTCGAGCACGAGCATATTGAAGGGAACCGGGTTTTTGGGCCAACGGACCGCACCGTCACTAACAGAGTAACTTTCCGCAAAAACTTTAAGTTGCCTGGTTAGCATCCCCAGAATATCAAGTATCTCGTGGGCATGGTCCGAAGACCTAGTGCAATTTGTCGATTCACTGCGTAAGCTTCGCCATTCCTGGCGCAAAATCGCTACATCTGCCGTAGATTGCTCAAGATCATCCAAGGTTTCGGAAAGTAAGGGAAGTAGCGCGTCGGGTGCGGTGGGTACAGTATCTTCTGAAGTTGAGGAACGACGGGATGGTGATACAATCGCAGCTGCCGCTGGAGCCTCGTCTAAGAGGAGACACCAATTAATATCCGCTCCCACAAAGTTCAGCAAGAAAACTCACCCTCTGGAACCCCGGTCAGTATGAACGGCAAAGACACTTCCAACTCACGTTCCCTAGTTCCGAACGTCCCGCTCGAGTCGGAGAGGGATACCTCCACTTTCAAAACGTACTTGACCTCGAGGCCCCAAGCGTCATCGAAGGACTTCACCGGAGGAGTAGACGCAACAAATTCCTTTGCCGCGGATAACGGCACGGGATTCTTAAACCAATCCAACGGTATCACCCGCGCCGGACTTTTGCCTTTCTTCGGTTTCTCTGGGATCCCTCGGCCAACATGCAACGCATAAACACCGTTGAACTCGTTATTGCTTGACGGGTCGTACCGTGGAGCAGGAGTATCCTCCGCTACAGCGATATTTGCTTTGTACTGTAACTGCTGTTGGGTAGGTAGGCGGATAGTAATGATTTGTTTGGCAACGAGACGAATTCGCTGGACACGGTGAGATTTGTGGAGCTTGGTAAGCTCAACATTCACTTTCAAAGGTGCTTCGGAACTGCATAGCGGACGCTCAAGAGTAGCAGTGACGGTTGTCTCAGGTTGCGATGATCGTCCAAATGAAAATAGGGATGGGCGAAGCGTTTGAGTGGATGTCATTGGTGGTAGGGCTAGTCCCGAAAGAGTGTGCCGGTGCTCCACATGGAAGTTGAGTGTTACCAGCGACTGTCTTCGAAACGTATACGACGCTCCTTGCAACATATTTCCAGCGCTATCCATACTCAAGGAAGCCATCCCGTCTTCGGTGACCATGACCTTTTGTCCCAAGAAGCCCATAACTTCCCAATGAAGTCCAATCGGAACACCTTCATGGAGGTCCGTTGGATCAAAACAAAATGAGGGAGGTAGCGCATCATTTCCGAAGTCGAAGAAAAATGGATATCTTCGACGCCCCGGTTGAGTGCCCTCCCATGTGGTAGCCGACGAACTATCCGCATTTGATGGCAATTCCCGCAATTGGCTTGTCCGGTTATAGACAACCCTTTCTATCACGGCGCCCAGCGCCGTCCGGTACAAAAGAATGCATTGCACTTCTGCGTAGGGAACTGTCCGCATCACCAAGGTTAAGCCAGGTTAAGGCAGATTACACTCGCGGCGAAAGAAATTAATAGTAGTAGCAGAATCTCACCATATTTTTCCAGAAGGAGTCCCCTAGCACCTACAGGATCTACAGTCACCAACCCTGCAAGGTGCGGCCATCTTGCTCCATCCTCAGATACAATTTTCCTTTCCTCCAGGAAGATGCTCAGGTTCCGATCTTTTGAGTGCCGTCCAATAAGCGCCCGAGTGCCTATTCGCTGCTGCTCTCTTTCTCTATCATTTTGTATACGCTGTTGTGGTTGACGCGAAGGACTGTCTGCTCGTTGCCTAGTGGGAGAAAGGGATCTATTGTTGTCGTGAAGTGACATTTTTAATCGCCATCCAAGAAGATAGTCGAGAATGGCCGCAACAATCTGACGGGCCTTCCAAATGAGTCATAGCACGATCGGAAAACTTTGATAAGGTTTTGGTTCGAATGTGCCATGTGCTCAATTGTGGTCCATTTGCAACAAATACTCGACCTGCACGTCCAATAGGCATGCTTAGTGTATTAGGTGACAGAAACTGGCACTAGCTACTACACCAGGGAATAAACCAGCGACAACTGGTTCGGAAAAGCTAAGCTACTACTAGGCAATTATACACGCAATACGTAACGGTTGGTTCTAACCGGATAACTGCCCACCACCACACGCGGTCCCTACTAGGCCTTGATCCAGAACTCTTGATGGCATTGAAGCCAGAGTCTTCACAACATTGGGGAGACTCGCAAGCTGGAGGATGTTCAGTGACAAGGCTTGGAGACTAAAAACTGCATGTCAGCAAGATGAATGACAGAATGAAATGATGCCATTGGTACATACCAACCAAGCTCAACTAATGTGGCAGCATAATAACAGCTTTGTTGGTTCCGAGGCTGCGCTGGTTCCAGTTGGTTGTAGTCATCGGGAGGGCGAGGTCCTCGGCACCACCACATCTGCATTCTCATGATGGACTTGCGATGAGAGTTGCAATGTGGGTCACGATGAGCGTTGTGCAGATGGTTTGAGAGTCGAGGATGGGTAAAGAGGAAAGAGGGAGCAGGTCCCCTTTTATAGACCTTTGGCATGCGCCTCACCGCAGTTTAAAAAAAAAACATTACATGCATGCCACACCGCTTTGAGCGATAGATGGGGGTGCTGATTATGCGATATGATTAACCGGATTACTCCGGATAATAATGGGTCCTAGTGCCATTTTCAATCGCCTCCACACTATGTGGTTCAGATGATGTCCTAGGTATCCTACGGTCGTGACGAATAGATGTTGACGGAAAGCATGATCAAATGCATCCGTATCATTGCCTTGCGTGTCGTCCTGTGCAACGTAAACGTTCTATACCGTAGGGTGATGTTCACATGTACTGAATCTTCCTTCGGAGGAAGCTTTCATGCAGAATTCGGTCGTGCACCCTCCCTGCCATCATCAACTCGGGGCACGCCATAATAGCCCACGAGGTGACTGACATACATTAAAACACTTGCCTGATCTTGTTCTCTCTTGCTCTGGCATCTCGTCCTTTCCTCATTTTTATCCTTCCACTCTCGTTTATGTTTAGGAACCCCGCTAGCAGTTTTGTCTTTCCGATGCTGAAGTAAGACAAGATTTTTGTGGAAGCTGGATAGACATCGTCAAAAGATGATCATTGGCGGACATCGAAAAAGGTCCACAGTGCCCTGGATCGACAAGCTATTGAGCACATGTTTGCCCCACGGCACGTTTCCGATGAGAATGGGTGAGACTGTCCAATCTGCGCGTTTACTCGCTCTGCAACAGAGCTATGGCCTTAAAGAATATGTCATCCAAGACCTCTGGTCAGAATGGTGCTCCTGTGGCCTTTGCATTGTAGTGTATGATAAAGTACCAGTAATCATCCAGAGAATAAGAACGATTTATAAACACTCGACCTCCTTTGTCTTTTCCGCACTGAAAATACAGGTATGTGAAACCGTCCGCACGTTTCCTCTTTGTGGTTGCCTCACAGAAATCAAGAAATGCAGCCGACGAGCTTTCGAGTAAAGGTCAGGGCCTAGCCAGCGAAATCAATTTTAGGACTCATGTTAACCATTTGGCTCCAGACACTTTGAGTCTTTTCCACTGATGATTTGGACCTCTAGCTTGTATTTCGTGACCCTTGTTGGGACATCTCTCGTAAGTGTTCTGTTCAGTTTTGAAATTCGCCATGGTTTCTTGGATAGTCGCTTGAGTGTCATAGGGCATGCTGTGGTGGGCTTTATATTGCTCCAATTGCACCAGATCTTTCAATGTAATCAGCTGAGCATCGTTCCTTAATTTTCATACCTCTGTCCATACGGTTTATCTTACATTGTCCATCATGGCTTCTTTCGCTGTACTCTCTGCATGCGAAAACGTGCACGATGGCCGCACGACGGCCAAGTGATCTACAGAGAACTGTGGAGGTCAACCTCCAATATGATGGCTCCCACCTCTAGTTGATCATCGATGACCAAGCCTACTGTGGCAAGTGTGGAAAGTGCGTTCGCACAATTGGCATCGCAGAGGCACTCGACAAAACAATCCCCAGATTCACAAGTGTGGAAATCAAGAGTGTCGATTCGATTCGGAAGTCGGGAAGGCAATGTCGGCAGATTTAAGAACCCATAGACTTCATTCATGGGCATTCAAGTGATGCAACAGATAGCTGTACATTGATATTTTAGACACTAACGGTCGGGTCGAGGAGGCCCTGGTAGGCTATAGCTTGCAAAGCACCAGTATCGACACATATCTAGTAGATGTTTTGATGACAACCACCCTAAAAGTATCCTAACTAGTTTAACTCCAACAAAATAAATAACTGTGGTTACTATGTACGCTATCAACCCTTTTATACAGATTTTTTGGTCGCATTCCTCTTCAAGTCATCATTTACACATCCCCACCACCCCAAGAAAATCCTACTGGGAAGTCTGACCCATTCTGTACGCGGGAAAATGCTAATGAGAATACAGTCTCAGTAGATTTCATCGATCGGTTGATCACGTCGGAATACGGTCTCTCAAATATGCGAGAATGGCATCCGTCCCTAAATTCCAACGACGAGTTATATTGATGCGACTAAATTGCAATTCGATTTCAATGTGTACCTTTATCGAGAATCTGTCTGCGAGGTACCCTGAAAGGATTCCCCCCAAGCGTTAGAATCCGCAGGCCAGTGCACAACCCTAGCTCAGGTGGAATGTGTGCTATATTGTTATCGGCTAGTTCCAGGATGTGTAAGTGTTGGAGGTTTCGAAAGGTATTGGGGTCAATCCGGTCTATCACATTTGCTGAAACGAGAAATGTCTCAAGCTGAGGAAACGGCAACCTGGGCGGCAAACTTGCGATACGATTATGGTTAACGTTGAGCTCGCGCAGTGCAGGAAAATCGGGAGAGGACGGAAGCGAGGTAAGGAAATTAGACGACAAGTTCAGGATTTGTAAATTAGGAAGGCTTTTCACGGGGAACTCTGTAATTTGGTTGTGGTTCAGTACAAGTGTTGTTAATCCGTGCGCTAAATCGTACACAGCTTCGGGAATTCTGGTAAACGCATTGTGATGCAGAATGAGTTTGGAAGGAGTCCAAGATAGGTCACTGAAACACGAAGAATCCAATTGACCCAAAGAACGCTGAGAGAGATCTACTGTGCGGGAGGCCGCCTCTTGGGTAGATGGAGGTATAGCCCTTCTGCCGGGACTTCCTGGCGGGCTCGCGTGCGATTGTATGGCGGGAGATGGCGCGTCTATGTGACATGATTAGCCGTGGAAACGGAATGTAGCTCCAATTGACGTCGTACCTGCGATCTTATCCCTCAAAGTACTCAGAATCTTCGACGTCGACCCGAGCGGCACTCCACGCAAAGGGTTTCCAGTAAATAGAAAAGCATTGATACCCTCCAATAGACCCAGCTCTGGCGGTAACTTTCCAATCGAGTTGTTGGTAATGTCCAAACGCTTCAGCTCCTTCAAGCCTAGGATTTCCATTGGAAACTCTGTCAGCTTATTGTACCCAACATCCAGAATCTGGAGATGGGGTGCTTCTGCCAGAATTCCAACGCCCAACTTTGTTATAGTATTTTGGGAAACATAGAGTTCACGTAATGCAGGGAATTTGATGATTTCCCCCGCTGGAGCGAGCGAAGTGAGCTGGTTACGACGAAGATCAAGGCGCAGCAAGGACTGCAGGAGCGTCACGCTGCTTTCAGTCGCAGGAAAGAGCCGAGTCAGCCTGTTATCAGTCACTTCTAGATCGCTAAGATGGACTAGACTGCTGAAGTCGCCTAGCAGGTCAAGTTCGTTCCTAGAGAGGTTGAGAGTAGTCAAGGTCGTCAACTGATTCAAAGACGTTGGAAGGGATGTCAACTTGTTGTTGGAGACATCGAGCGTTTTCAGCCGCTTAAAGTCGCCAATGGACGCCGGAAGTTCCGAGAATTTGTTGTTTGCTAGGTTCAGATCGATGATAGGCAAGGCGAATACACCCGCTGGCAGGGACGTGAGGCTATTGCCGGAAACATTCAGAATCGAAAGATTTATTAGTGCCCCAATCTCTTCAGGAAGCCGCGATATTACGTTGTTATGAATCTGGATCAAAATGGAGATAACTTCAACAACCTGCGAGGGAACCTGACGATTGAAGTGAAAGAACCAACGAACATCCAGGACTGTCAATCCATGAAGCATTCCAACCCGCGGGTCCAAATCTTCCAACATGTTGTCAGCTATGATAAGCCTCGTCAAATCCACCACCTAGAAGTTGCTGATGAGCTTCAGCCCCCAAACCTTTTGCCATGACTGAGTGTTACTTACTTCCCACCAATTAGCGTCAGTCGCCTCGCGTCTATCAAAGGAAAGGTCCACCTTTTGCGTGCTCTCCGCAACATCATCCCAAAGAGCATTGGGAATTGCCGTCAGAGACCGGTTAGAAAGATTTAAACGCCCGGAAGTTCGTGATTGAGCTACCAGCTTCCTTAGGACTTGCTCGGGCCCAACGGAGGCTGGTGCACTACGAAATTCAGGTCGTTTGAACCTTCCCCTGGAGGACTTACTGCTGAGCATGGCGAAAATACGACAACTTGCTAAAAGTTCGTACTCCGAGAAAGAGGGTCTGACGCTGACACGAATGAGCCGGCTCCAATGCGCTTACGCTATCAAGTTGAATTGGAATCCAACTGACATCCAGGGTTAGGGTTAGGGTTATGGCCTCTTCTGCTAGTAGTCGCTAGTGCTATCGCATGGTGCTTCCATAGTTGAACGGTCCCGAGATAGTGTGGGGCAGCTTGAACTACTAAAGGTCCTCTGGGTCTGCATGGATTCAGCTACACTAGAATCTCGAAGGCGTGAAGCTTTCAAGCAGGTGCTATCAGACGGCAATACCAAAGCAGGTCTTCTTGATCTAACCTTATTTGCTTGCTCAGCTCAAGCCAATATGCGTGGACGTAATGAATCCCCACTGCTGGACAACTACAACCAGAGATGCGAACAACCGGCTCGTGGCTCTGCTCGATATGCTGCACGTCATTGGCGCAAGCGAATGCGGCGCGAGCGTGCTGGGCGGTCTAGTTGAATACGTCACATTTCCAATTCTGCAGCTTTTCAGCTACCCGTCGGCTTCCTTGAGTGCCTTGGAGTGCGGTCTCGAATGTTTACTGTACCTTTTGGAAATGTGTCCGGGTGAAGCAGTGCCGCTTCAACTTTATCGGGAGCTGCTAGTTACTTTACCGTTCATAATATCTCAAGGAACTGTATCGAAGGCAGTGAGAAACGGGAGAGGAACATCAGAGGAGGTCAAAGGCCTCGGCGTTCGGTGTCTGCTGGCCCTGGTAAAGAAACCTGCGGTACCCCCGACGGTAGAAAATGAACAGTGCGAGGAAGTAGACAGGGTAGCCATAAGGGATACGACTGATAAGGAGCTGAGTAGATCAGAGTATCAGCCAGCTGTTGCACACGTAGTAGTCGTTCTATTGGACTTGATCGAGAAGGAGCGGAATTTGCGTCTGCAAGTATCCGCTATAGACACGTTGTCGCGTGTCGTGCAGCAATTGCGCGAGCCGGATATAGTTGCTCAGTTCTTACCGGGAATCAGTTCTACATTGGCCAAAACGATAACGAAAGACGCAAAGGACAGCCATCGAATCATCGTTGGATGTCTGAATTTACTTCTCCAGACTATTGTATTAGTCATGAGTGATGACGCTTGCGAACACTTACTTCCGAAGCAAAAACCTAGTTGGGCTGATCTGGTCGAGCTGGCTCAGCGAATTCCATCGATGGATGATCGGGCACAGAATTTGAGGCCGCCATTGCACGCCCCAGCCACCGTTGCAGATTCTTCAGAACCGCAACCGAAACCATATATAGTTAGGGATGCCCATTGGCACAAAAACACCGTTATACGTCTCAATAAGCTCTTTACTCGTATATTTACGATTCGTAGTCATGATCAGTGGAAAATACGTCTGGGGTTCTTGCGGTTTGCATCCAATGTGGCACTGCACTGCTCTTGTTCCCTTGGGTTATCCATCCCGCTGTTGGTTGAAACGTTGCTGTGCTACGTCAATGACGAATACCCCTTGGTGGCGAACGAATGCCGGGCGCAAATTGAAGTCGTAGCCGCTAAAATACGCGACCAATATTCCGTAACATCCATCCTGAAAGAGACCTTCTTCTCCTACATGATGACGCTACCGCGACAAATGATGCAGACTGATGATGGCAGAAAACTAGAATCCCTTCATATCGCAAACGGTTACTTGATGCTCTTAAAGGGAGAAATCAACAAGCCCTTGGGAGCTGTAATGAATCATGTGTCTCTTGGATTGCTTAAGATCTTGACATTTGATAGCTCTGAAGTCAAGCTGGTAGAGGATCGGGTAGCAGAGTCGAGCATTGGCTTTGCCATCATGGATATGGCGTCTGAAGTTCCGGAGAGGAGTGAACCGTCAACCGGAAAAGATTTCAAGCGGTTTGCGTACATGTTTCCGCGAAAGCGATTTCAGTACTTCCGTAACGATAAAGTTACTTTGGCTATCAGCCAAATGTGCCGCCTACTGGGCTACTATGGGGATCTAGAATCTCTGGTAGACCATTTCTTGGGACACCTACGTTCCATAGCGTTCGGGGATTATCAGCCACAAGCGATCTACATTCTGAATGAAATATGTCTTGGTGCTGCGGGTGTAGGAGTCGAAGCTCTCAGTTATTCCAATGGGTCAGAAGACAGAAAAGCCTCTATGATGCCAATTATAAAATCCGTAGTTCGCGAATATCTTGACTCACCCATACTGAAACTTCCGACAAATCTTGCTGATTTGAAGCTTCTCAAGGACCTTCGAAGATTGAACCCCGATTATCTCGTGAATGAGCCGGATAGTGCTCCGATGAGTGGTACCTTTAACGCCGTCATCCAGAAAACTAGTCTTATTCTTGAAGGCGTAGCGGTCATGGCTGCTGTGGCTGGAGCCGACTTTCGCTTACTGCTTATGGATACTCTTTATGCAATACTTGAAAACGTTGGAGATCCGAATCGAACTGTAAGCGATTCGGCAATGGCTACATTAATTGCCGTCGCGGAAGCTTGTGAGTATCACAAATCCACTCAACCGTCGAGCGATAGCATGCAAGGGCCGCGCGAAATGATTCTTCAGAATGTTGACTACATTGTGAATATTGTATCACGACGCTTGCGCTACATTGCGCAGAATCCACGAGCGCCACTCGTGCTAAAGGCGGCAATCCGGATCGCAGGTATTCATATCGTTCCTTACATGGATGATTCTGTCGACGAAATTTTGGATGCTTTGGATCATTGGCACAATGAAAATGGGCTAGTCGTGTTCAATCTAATTGGAGTTCTTAAGACCTTGATGGACGTGATGTGTGAGGATGCCAGTGTACCCGTGGAGAAAGAGACCTCGAGGGATGAACGAAGTGAAAGTGTCTGCCTTGCTCCAATAATCGATGAGCGAGCCCCTTTTGAACTCTCTGCCTGTTCGCAAGAAATGCTTGGATTTTACCTTGAATGCAAGCCGTCCGTTGAAGAGCGAAGAACACCGAACCAGCAGAACCGCGGACAGGCATCGATTGGCGACATAGAAAAATTCTTCACGGACCGCAAAAGTGGTGAATTTGAAGGAGTAACATCCCCTGGCAGACCGATTTCGTCACCGGATGACCTAGGCCAAAGTGGCGACAAATTCGACATGCACGGGACAAGCGATGAGCGAGCCGACGGAGTAGGACCTCCGTCTCATGTGCAGTCATTGGCTCTGAAAATCGTCAACAAGTTATACCATTACCACTCCAGTGCCAACCCGAGACTTCGGGTCCAATCCCTACGCATTTTTCATAGTTCTCTCGCTATCCTCCGCCTACGCTCGAACGATCTCAACCCAACCATTCACAAGTTCTGGCCGATCATTACCCGTCGCTTGGGAGATGAGGAACATTACGTCGTATTTGAAGCATTAATTGCTGTGGCAACCATGTGTCGTCTGTCGCCCGATTTTGTTGTCAAACGGGTGGCGGACGATCTGATCCCCCGGTTTGAAGTCCTTGCAAAAAGTTTGCAGAGGGCTGTTGAGCGGACATATGCGGGAGAGAAGGAAGGGTCGCATCGAGCACATCGCGATGTACATCATCGGGTGGTAACATCACAACAGATGAAAGTCTACGTCGCGTCCCTTACCACTATGGCCGAGCTACTTCTTAGAGTCCAGATGTCAAACAATAGTATCTTTAGGATAGTAACTAGTGTAGTACCCTTCTTGAATTCACGATGGTATACGCAGGAAGTTACAGAGGGCGCTGTGGGTGTGCTGAAGGCGGCCGCCAACTGCCGTCACGGACAGGATATCGTGTGGTTGTCATTATGGGCAGTCATGGGAGGACAGGGAGTGCAATTGTCAACAGAGGGGACTAGGGCAACAACCCTGCGGGAAGGAAAGATTCCTAAGTGGATGGCTGAACACTGGAGAGGACGAGGGAAGCCCGAAGACTTTATCCCTGCTGGTATGGAAGTTTTGAATAGTTTTGATGGTAAAGCAACCTGTGAATTGGTTGCAAATGCATTCCCTATGTTGGATGGGACATCGGTCGGTGGATTGGGTGTGGCAGTTTCGTGCTAGGAATACCATGTGCATAGGTTGGTAGTTGGGCATGCCATCCATGATATAGGTGCAGCACTATCCAGGAAGCCAAGATATAAACAAAATCAATATTATGAGATCACGGCATTATTTGCACCAGTTTTTCCCAATCACCCCCTGCTTCAAGCCTCCAGTTTCCGTCTGCGTCCCCATCGAACAATGCAGTACTCCCTATTCTCGACCCCGCCATACGCCTTCGCAACCATAGGACTTGTCGGAACATCGCAAGGATCGTCGCACCGTGCTTCACCCCATCACGCAAATGCGACAAAAATGCAAAGAAACCAAGCACCGCAAGAATTCGATCCCTACAAAATCGACATAGAGGTTGCCACGCCGCATCTGGTGATAAGGAAGTTTGTGTTGCTGAGGATGAGGAAACGGATCCTGTGGTTGTAGACGATGTGCTCGGCGCTGGGGGGACAAACCGGATTTTGTAATCACAATCTCGGATCAACGTACAAGCATAGCATTTTGTACGAGCTGCTGGTCGCTGTGATTGTTGGGAGGCGATGTCACCCGACAACGGTGATGGTGAGGAAGGTGACTGTGATATCTTACTCGCAAGTGAAGAATTCGATCGAGTTGCCCAATGCGGTACCACTTCACACCATCCCCGTGATATGTTTTCCAGGAATTTCTTTTTGCTTGATGCGCTTAGGCCCTGTGTTTGCTTGAATATCCCACCTCCGTCCAGGTGGTACCCGTAGAATAGGCATGGTTCGACATCCTCCGCCATACACCGTTTAAAGAACTGAGTTGTAATAGAGGGTGTTTGTTGGTAGTTCGAGTTCATGGTTTCCTTTACATGCTCCTGAAATTCTGAGAAGATGATCCCGTCGACTGGGATGGTTGAGGACGAGTTGATGCCTAGGACTGGGAAAGAGCCATGCGGGGAAACAATTACTGATGACCTTCGCATAATACTGTCACGACGGAGAGGAGGGCCAGAAGTGGCAAGGCTGGATTGTGAACCCAGGGGCGAACTGGAACCAGCAGCAGAGGTAAGGTTGGTAACAGAGCTTGAGCGTAGTTTAGCAGCTTCTAGTGCCCGTAGAGACTGACGCAGCTGTTGTAATTCGTCGTCCCGTCTTCTAAAATTTTGCATTACCTCGCTCAGCTCGCCCCTCAATTGGCGATTAGAATGTTCCAGTTCATCCCGCATTTTTGCTTCATCTATCACCATTCGATTCGCTTGGTCAAACAGTTGAGCAGTAAGCTCCTCGAGTTCTTGATCTAAAATGTCCTTGCTCAGCTGTAGTCTATCCCTTATGGCGCGTTCCTCCTCTAATTGATCGGCAAGATCCGTGATATCAAGCTTGAGACCGTCAATAGTATCCTGCAAGTGGTGTAGTTGTAGCATATTGTCACGGCAGAAGTGGCATTTACTGATCGTTGGGGTGCTTGGGGCTGTTCCAGTACTCCTCGATGGATTGGTTGCTAGATCGCTCTCGTCATCCTCTGGTAGAGAAGTAGCAGCATGATAAAGTGCTGCAGCGGCCTTTTGAGCTGAAATCTTCCTTTCATGGCTTGAGGCAGAAGAGTATGATCGACCAGATTGTAACCCTGCCTGTGACATATTTCCGGTTGACAAAAGTCCTTTTGTATCGCTTGAAGCTGTACCAAGCCGTGGGGGCTCAGGTTCCTCTTCTCTGCAAGGAGATAGTTTGGGCCATGCCCCGTCGCCGGGGGACGCTGACTCTGCATGTGCTGCCTCACCATTCAATCGAGGCAGAGGCTCCAGATCCTGAGTAGTTTGAATGCCTGGTGGCTTGGGCTCTGACACAGCCTTAACTGACATCTGGGCACTTTTTAGATAATTCAACGCCAGGCGCAGACATTCCATACACTGAACTTCCAACGGTGTTGCGCCGCCTGGCAACATTGCTTTTGAGCCGGACGTCAGAGACAGCTGGAAGTTTGCAGCCTGCTGAGCTTGTTGTTTCTCTGCCATCTGTGCCGGCAAAGACTTATCGTTGTTGGATTTGCTGATAGTTGAGGCGATACGGGAATGCTCAGCTTGGCCGGAATCCCCACTGAAGGACTCCTTTCCTCCACGCGTCAGCCATTCCTCAAAGTTCAACATTGGCTTTCCCAGAAAGAGAATGGCTTCTTTGATTGCAAACTCGTACCGATTCAGCTTTATTCGCATAACGTCAATCACATCATTTTTCCGCGTAATAGTTTCCGCTGCGAGGGCCAACTCTTTCTCTTTTTGTTCGCTGACATTCTAATTCAAGCAAAAAGCATGAAGGGTTCGAGGGAATAGGTGGGATGCAAAAGGCGCTGTAAGAACAACGCTACCTTGAGCTGGGTTTCGAGTTCAACTATTCTCCTCTCAAGGCTTTTCACAGTATCCTGACTATCGGACTCGGACTGTTCGTTCTGGTTATCTATGCTGACTATTCTGTCATGGGACTGAGTAGGAGTACCAACCCGACCGGATGAAATTACAGCTTCCGCCATAGGTGGTCTAGTGCATTCAGTGCTGAGGCCGAGGGAAGGTGAACCAAACTAAGTGCTTCAGCACCCCGCCAGGCTTACATAAGCAACTCTTCATGTGCTTCGAATTGTAACAGATGATTAACTCCATCTGCTGTTACAGCATACTACGAAAATAAACCTAATAACAATCTACGCTTATACAACATAAAACAATTGTAACAAATTAAGCTAAGAACAAAATCAAAATGCAGGCACTTCCCCAAGCACCTGCTAGAAGATGATCGTCTCCAAAGATGCAAACATAAAGCGTGCTGAAAAGCAATATAGTCTTGACAAGCTGTGCAACGAGTGCAAGAGCAAACTCGTATCCTATACTTTGGATCGAGGATTTTGGAGTATTGGCTTGGCCTGAATCATGAGTCAGCCTCCACATACTCTCGACAAGCATGATGGATTCACTTACCGTCAACCACAGAGGCCCAACAAGGAACGATGAGTCCGGCAAAATTGGACGCTACCACTTTTCCAGGCCGCAAGGCTACTATGACAGCACCTTTCCATGCATCGGATTGGAGCACTGCGCCGCGAATCCTTAAACTGTAGACAACGTGCTGGCCAAGGACGCGTTCCACACCCATCACTTCCAACCCAGCACCCGGAATTCGACATGCGGGCTGATAGTCTCTCACGATACGGTCACTAGCGTGAACGAAAGAGGCCTCAAAAGCCTCCGGACCGATGTCGGTTCCTGACACCCCTTTGACCTCGTCAGAGAATTGGACTGTAACCTCAAGATGCTCGGCGGTCCACCTTGTGTCCTGAATCCCGATCACATGCACACCTTGCCCTGTGATGGCTTCTAGGCGCTGATTCACGTCGCATCTACCAAATGGCGGCCGAGCGTCCGTACATTTATCACCATTTATGTTGACAGCAATGCTGGTCCCTTCTCTCCACGCCCCTTTGCTTTTTTGGTAATCTAGTTCTACGTCCCATAAATCGGTATCATTATGATATTTGATGTTCAATGGTTCCACAGCAGATCCATTGATCGAAATAGCAAAAGAATCCAAATCGATGTTCACGCGCGACGAGAACCGTATTACGATCATACCCCGCCTGTTGCCTTCACTCATTTCGTTCCGTGCCGTCAACTTTTCGTACCAGCCGACAAGAGCCGCAGTTGGTCGACGATGCCGCACATAGAGAACTCGGGTTACCGACGTGTGGTCATCGTTTACGGGATCCTGCAGATATGTCTGTACGAAGACACCCGCCCGAGGCTTTGCGGCATCAAATGATCTATCGAATCGGGTAATGACCTTCGGTTTGTGTCCGGAAACGCCCTCCTGCAGACCGACAATGCTGACCCCAGGATCTACAAAAGGTTCACCAGCGTACAAAACCATAACTCGTGGTCCAATCAGTTGCAGACGCGCAGACGGAAGCGCTTTTCTTTGTAAACCACCGGGGGGTTGGGATACTGCGCCTATTTGCGGACATGCGTTTGCATTGGCGTAGAACTTGCCGGGAAGATGGCAATGGGCTGCAAGATCCACGCGATAGGAGCGACGAGGCTCATCCGAGCAGCAAAACCCTAAGATTCACAAATGAGCCATGCTATCATGAGATTTCGACATGCAGGATGCAGTTCGTTTCTCACCCTTGACTAGTTCCACCTCTGCATTGGCGCTCCATACTGGGAAATGAGGCCAACCAGCTCCAACTAGGGCATTTTCGCGGACAGCCAATATGAGCTTATCGCCGGTGTTGTATTTTTCCCGTGGTAAATGTATTGCAATATCATATTCGATCTCTTCTTTCGTAAAATCAGCACCTGGCGCCGTCGGAAGCGTCGCGTGACGGAGCCACAGAATGTCCAGCGTGGTGCGAACAGTTCGGCTGTTCCAAAAGAATCCAGCTGTCTGCTGGGCGAGAGTTACTGAAAACGACTCCGCCAGTGCCATTTGTCTACCCGTCTTTGTAATAAAAGTGCCGGAAAATGCGAAACGGGCAACCAAGGTGACTGCATCCACGCGATGTTTAAGCCATGCTCGTGCTATGGGTGGAGGAAAAATTGATATGCGTACTTGCTTCGGTGAACATGGCGCGAAAGGGTACTGGGCATCAAAACAAGCCCTAGGCGAAGGCCACATTTCGAGCGTTGCGTTTACGGGCCACTGGTTAATCGGTATTGTATATTCGGGGAGACGGAGGTGGAGAATGAACGTCGCTTTAGATGTATCTTGATTTGTAGCATGCAAAGCTGCCTCAGTCATAGGAGCACCGACGTGGACATCATCTATGATAATATTCGCCAATGTGATACCATTCCCATCTACTACTCGACTTTGGAAGGAGCTGGGATCGAGTCCACCGAGTGCGGTTGGTGCAACACTGAACCGTAGGTCCCCTTTATTATCACGGGCTACTGCTTCTGGGAATGCGACTGTTATTTGATCCACACCAAGGCTCCTCAGTTGCAGTGATGGTCGGTCTCGAACATGTAGGATTCGAGAAACAGTCGACGAAAACACCAAGTCCTTTCCCTTCCCGTTCACTCCACATTTGAACCAGTACTCAGCAACATACAAGCCAGTCTTGGAGGGGTCAAATGGTCTGTCATATTGCCGGTAGAGATGACATCTTGGCGTTCCACGTCTGCGCGCAACTCCCTGCAGACAAGGGCACCCCGCAGGTTCGCACGCCAAGGAAGCCCCTGGGTCAAAATACGTTGAATTTCGGTATATGGCATCGTACCTGCGGCCAACCAATTGTGCGATGGGACGACATGATAACGGAGATGCTTCTGGCTTGTGTCCAATAGCGTCCCTAATTTCCACATGTCGTATTTTGATTATGTCGAGGCGCCGGTGGATCTCCGCACTGATGACTGTCAACGCCAGAATTGCGCACATTAACACGGCCCGTGGCGATGCATTCAATGCATGGAAACCCTTTGTGCCTCCAGCATAATTCACAACATTAGACCCCTTGGTAGATGGGTAGTGATTCGACACATAATAGAACGCCAGTCCAAGAAAAAGATATGCACCACCGCCAACCGATATGGATCCAGATTGCCCAAAAAGATAGTTCCCGTATGCAACCAGTCCAAGCGCCGCGGCTAATAGCTGACAGAATTAGAAACGTGCAACAAAGTGCCTGCCGCGGGTCTCCAAAGTCTGGACTATCCCCTGCAAACGTAGACTTACCAGCCTGGCAGATGTCTTCCACACGCTTGACCCCAAGCATTTGTCGAATGCGTATGAATACCCTCCTAAACCCGCATACTAGGGCTTCCGTCGATCTGCCTCTCGTGTACGTGGCATCTGCAAAGTACGAATCTCACACTTTGTCCTTGGCAAACTTGTTGGTTCCAGCCACTGCCTTTGGAATGTGAAGCTAATCAACCATCTTTGCTTACGTAGCAGCGGATTTGGATGGGAGACCTCACCAACGACCTTGACCAACCTGCAGACGGTATTGACTGCTTTCGACGTGTACTCTGGAACTGGTTGACCGCCTTTTGAGCCCATATGGCGTGATAGTTGTAATGGACACTTGTTCCCAGACGTGCGTGTCGCTGGTTAGCATGAGTTTGTCACCTGGGACAATCCTTGCAATTAAAACTAAGGCATTATTTCCAGGCAATCATCCGGCTCAATATCGCAGAGAATATATGACTATGCACCTTCCAGCGTAGTCAGTACTGTGAGCTCCTCTTGGGATGATGTTGAACATGTGAGCTGCACTAAGTGTAAATGAGGCGCAAATATGGAAAGGCCGGAATGAGCACAGAACTTGAGCGAATAATGACGAAAAACTCCATACTGAAGTTAGTTGGGCATTTGTTGCTAGGATTACGATGCGCACGCTACATCCCAGGTCGAAGAGATGTTGGAGCAACTCGAAACGTTTCTATATCATGGTACGGGCAGTGGGTTTTGGGAGGATGTTGGGATGTTCTCTCCTGACATTGCGTCTTCCTGTTTTCCGATAGAAAGCGATACCCTCATTGGTAATCAGCAATTGATGGAGGAATGCGTAGAATGGTCTTCCCTTTTCCCCCATTTGCGGTAAGTGCGCTTCAAATACGCAAACTGTTCTTTGATTATAATGAACATATGCGCCCGGTCACAGTGTACGTGGACATCAGATTCTCCCCACGAAAGATTTGGGGTATGAAATTATACCGAGGAGTGAACTTCGATGCCATTCTCCATATTTTTTTGTTCCTGAGAATCCAATTGAGCACAACTCAGCATCCCTTTATTCACCAAAGCCGTGCCATGCCTCTTACCCAGACTCGCTACCTTTTGTTGAAGGAATTGGTCTCAGTAACGATATTGTTGCTCGAAAATTTATGCTGGAGGCAGTTGATCAGATTTATGACCACGCGAAAGAGCCAACTGGCCCAAACGGAAATTGGCCGTACTATGCAAGGAGCTTGTTTGATTGGTCGGATCCTAAAGTACAAGAAGCTATAAAAGGATTGCTGAATCATGACCGACGAAATGGGCACACTCGCTGGTACGATCGTATTCCTATAACCTATTAATCTTCTATCTAAAACATCTGTACATTTTACGCGAATCCAGGCTGATCTTTCGATACTTTAAAACACTCCACGGGCAGGAGGGAAAAGCAGGAATCGGTGAGGAGGAGGAAGATCGCTGTCCAACTCCAACACCGGAGAACCCAAACCCACAACCTTCGTATCTTCCAATGGAGTTTTCACCGATACCCGATACGACGTACAGCGTTGAACTCTTCGCGAATGGACCTGGCGGTGTAGATGCACTGAAGAAACACTTAGGCAATCATCTAAGAGATTTGCAAGATGATCAGTATTTTGCACTATTATCATTCCGCGTGGAATCTTGTGCTAGCTTGTGCAAGACCACCGTAGCGGATTGGGCCATAGCTTTCATTGGCTTGCAAAAACTCTTTGACCACCCTGGAAGCTGCGCAAGTGAACTCAAGTTGGACGTCACGAAAATCTCGACTCCACCTTTGGACACTGCGCCCCTTCAGACAACCCATATCGTGAATATTTATGACGTATTGATGATGCTCCCGGTAATGATTTTTACAGACTCTCCTAATGATGGAGACTTCCAGGCTGAGGCTGCGTCGACAGGTACTGAGCATGTTCATAGGACCACGACCTCAACAGCGTAGCATTATATGAGTATTTGGTACCTTCGTTCGAAGATCTACTGAGAATACCCGCGGAATCAGTGATGTCCTCTCTGACGATGATCGACGATGGCGCTACGCCGTGCGTCAACCATAAGCACGAAGAAGTCTTTGCCGAAAACGGCGAAGTCGATGAGTGGTTTGCGTGCGATACTCAAACGTATGTGTCATCCCTGGTTGGGTCACCACCCATAATCTGTTCTCTGCTAACTAACACGTAAAAGTGCCGAGGACCTAGAGGATAAAAAGATTAAACGGTACTCACATCAACGTCAAGCTATACCTCCAATGACACCAAATGCCAGCATTCGGCAGGATATAGTAGGACATATATTTGATGACATATGGTCGGAGGTAAGAGGTCAGGGTTGGATTAGTGCTCCGCCCAAGTTAATACCCAGATGACCATTGCTCCACTAAGCCGATCTGCCACCTATTTGTAGTTGGTTCCCATGTTCCATCCACTTATTGACGCATTGTCCGCCAGTAAGTACCACTGTGACAGACTTTCCCCGAGATGGTATACACTCAATGCTGAAGGATATTAAACATTCACATTTCCATCCATCTAGCACTAAGAGGTTCAGAAGCGGATGAACACGACAATGTCCACGCGACCAGTGGACAAGGAGGATTGGGGTACCCTGAAATGCTGTTTCAGGATGATAGCGACGACGATGGCCTACTCAGTGCCATCACAATTCGCCCGGTTTCACTGCAAAAGCGGGAATCCTCAGCTCGTGTTCGCGCGACGTGAGTTTCGTTAATCTGCTCATTCGTAATACCTTAACGGACCTTCACAAGTGTCTATCTGCTCAAAAGGCACGACATTTTTGTAACTCCGGCGAATAGTCTGCTCATTTTAGAGGCGTCGTCAACATCGCGCCCGGCATCTGCGCGCCCAACGTCTGCACGAACTACTGTGTCTGCGCGGCCAACATCCGCGCGTCCCACGTCTGGACGTATTGCAGATGTCTTCAATCATTCTCAGCACCAGAGCCATGCTGTCAGGCTGCAAAGCGCCGCACCAAAACAAGGCGGGCACAACTGGAAGCGGTTGGTAGGATTTCCAAATTTCTGTAGTCTCTTCCCTGACAGGATATCATTTCAGAAACAATCCGGGCATGCGACTATTACCATTACCAGCTGTGCCTGGCCCTGCGACAGTCAACGCCATCCCCACTGCCTTGAACGATATGATATATGGGACGAGGTAAGCTATCCAACTAGTCTAAATTACAGTATCTTAACGCACAAAGCATAGTTCTGTCCGCCGGTAGTATTTTGATGCAACCTCACTTTCTTAAGCATAGGAATAGGACAAACCAGGATCGCTCCGTCAAATGCCTGGTACCTAGCAATAGTGCTATCAGATTGAGTCGAGTGAACCATATTAATACCGCGCATAGGGAGTCATCTAGGCCTTCTACCTCCGTAACTGGGAACACTCATCTTTCGAAACGGCTACCACCTATTCGGAGTATGGGCTCCCATTCTCACGAGGTGCTTGACACCGTGGCCCCGTCTAAGGTATATTGCGATTATCATACGGCATAGTCGCCTACAGCTGATCGCAGATTCAAGTCTACCCGTCATGTATTATTTGAGACGCCAGATGTGGCCGACATACAAGCACAGCGGACTAGAGCTACATCACCGCGACCATTTTCGGCAAGGTAAAAACAAAGCCAATAGTATATTGTAGGTCTTGATCATTTAAGGTTCGTTTGTAGAAGGCAGCCCTCTGCGGGCCTACGTCGTCACCGTCCGCACACAGCAATGCTTGATGATTCCAGAGTAAGCGAGTCCTGGCAAGCACCAGTACTTACCCTTTGCTTACCCGTTGGGATTGTTGTCGTCGTCAGTCCATCGCAAATGCTGCTCCTTCAAACCGGACAGCTGCAAAGTATATTCCCCGCAATTTTTTTTCGCATGCCGCGGCAATAGCCAGCTTGAACGAGGATCAGCATATCGTAATGGGAACTAGAGTGGCTCGACGAGGTAGTGTTTTAAATGCCGGATGATAAAGCAAACCAGGCTGATATAAAGGTGAATGTTTAGGGGTGAAGTCAGCCATTAGCCGACGAAAGACAGCGACAAACGTGTATTAAATGAATTGTATTTCTCTGTGTCTTTACCCCTTAATACTTAACATGTAAATGCAACAGACGACCTATCTTTGATCGGGCCGCGCATAACTGGCTATTTTTAGCTTTTCCCCCTCAGACTGACTGGGTGTGACATCATGGTGGATAGTATTATTTGATGGCAAGTTAGGCTCCCACCGCAATACTCTAGTCTTCTCTTACGACAGCAGCGATGGACACTAGAGTTGCTGCAAAGGCTGAGGGCCGCAATCCTTTCACCCGTGTGTGTTACATATGTGGCCGAGAGTTTGGCTCAAAATCCCTCGCCATTCACGAAAAGCAATGTCTCGCGAAATGGGATGCTAGGAACGCCCTGCTTCCGAAAGAGCAGCGACGTCCCAGACCCCGTCCTCCAAATGCGGGGGGTTCGGGGAACGATGCAGTCGCCGTAGGGGGCCTGTCAACACAGGATTACAACGATGCTGCCTTTGCGACTTTTATGGACCAAGGCCGGGAAGAATGTCCAAATTGCTCTAGAAAGGTATGACGATAATTTGAATCTCGGCAAGTACGAGACATATCATTTTGATCAATTTCTCTGCTAGTTCCTGCGCGATCGACTTGAGGTTCACCTGCGCAGCTGCAAACCAGGGGGGTATTTTGCCAAAGAGCGTCAGAAGAAGCCAGAGATACCCCAACCCACCAAAACCATTGAGACCCTGTCAAAACTACAATTAACCTCGAAACCGAAGGCTGCGGCTAGTAAAGCAAAGGTTGGCCCTGGGAAAGCAAGTGGCGTCTCACTGGCTGCAGGACGAGATGATGTAGCGAGTGCTGCCGATGGAGCAGGGGGCGATGGGTGGAAACTGGCAAAATTCTGCGCAGATTGTGGGCATTCATTCGGCGTAGCGGCAGACAAATTCTGCCCATCATGTGGTTTACAACGCCTGAAAATAAGTTAGTGTCAATCCTTGAACATTTTGAATCGAATGAGAGCTCAGTTTCAGATGAAGTTTGTGTTCCAGTCATGATCTGAGGTTGAAGGAATTCTTGGGAATCATGTTGGAGAAACTCTTAATAAAGAAAATCCCATTTGGTGTTTGATCCAGGTACGGATTGTCCAGCAAGCCCGATGCCAGGAATGAAGATGTGAGATTTTCGTTTTTGGTAGGATATAGTCCTTGCCATACCAAAATCTAAGTGTTCGTTTCTTGGCGACGATATCAAAACCTGGTAAGGGGAAAAAGAAGAGTGGAACTCTGGCTCGGTTTATGCTAAGCCCGACGCTGACGTAAGCACGGCTTCCGTAAACACACTGTCAAAACGACACTTTTCACCACACGCGAACGATGATCTTCTAGCTGGTGCTTGCGGATGTGCTCAGCTAGCTATCAGTAGTTACAATCTTGCCTATTCGGAGACCACTCAATAAACCCCTCCTGTGTCCAGATGTTGATGCTTTGCTCCGATCGCTGAGAGACTTTCGCAGGCATTTCGCATCAATTAAAATGTTATGAAAATCATCAAGAAAATCCTCTTACCCAGTTTGACGGAGCCATGTTCAACCCTTCAACACTTGCACTTCTTTCATCAGGATTAACTGACCACGAATATGTTTGAGATGGTGATAAGGAAGGCACGAGGGCACGTTTCCAACCCACCTCTTTGTAATACCAATCTTCGAAAAATGGAGTATAACAAAAGGAATCCGCCGAAACTCATGGGAACGAGTAGAAAAATAGGATCGACGTTCATTGACGTGAAGAAAAGCGCTACAAACAAGCAACGCATGTCAATCATGGAGTTCTTAGCCCCAAACTAAGAGATACTTGCCATTCATTAAAGGAGTGTAAACAATGAAAAAACCAACCGCACAACCGGCAAGGAGCGCATACCACGTCTTTGGATTTCTAAAGTGTCGCTGAGTCAAGCACATTCAAAGGCGTAAGGCATTGTATTAATCACAACTTACTCGACCATAAACTTCCCGAAGGGTAGTCTCAAACGAGCTTTGCAAGCGAACAGGTTCCACACTTGAATAATCAATACTGAGAGGTAGAAACCGCTTTGTGCTTGCTTGAGTGCTTCGAATTGTGCATCACCCAGCTTTCCAACAGTTAAATACATATGGCATCCTTGGGCCGGCGTTCACCCGCATATCACTCACCACATAAGACCCATTGCCCAACTCGAGTGGAGGGCTATGCGGTAGGAAGTAGCGTCTGCCTTTTTGTGCACGTACCGCATCCGCTCCTGATATGCCGAATGAGAACCAGAGCACAGCGAAGAATGTCGCGAGGCCACCGCAACATTCAATAACGCCGCCCTCCAGGTATGCCCACATCATCACATCTCCATCTACCAACCTCTCTCCAACGATAAACCCCTGGGTGAGCTCTCGCCATGCACGATACTGCGCCCTCCAGTATCCGGGTTGCGTGAGTACTGCCCGGACCTCAAACCACAATTTCTCGTACCGAGATCGGATTCGAGCAGCTGCTGCTTCTGCGGCTTCTGCGCCAACCACATTCTGTTGTCGAATATCTTCCATGAGCAACTCTGCGTCTTCATCTACCAGCCTGGCCATTAGCATATGGGAATCGGTGTACGTGGCAACTCCCAAAGGGATCCCTTCGTGGGAATCTGATCGTACTCCCCCATCGTCCTCCGCATTCTCATTTTCTCTTGATAAACCAGCCTCGCCTGCCTCCGCTGCAATTTCTTCGTCCATAGCTCTCCGCTTTGCGTCTCGACGCAGTCGTCGCGCATGCATTACAGCCATTATGCTTTCTTCTGTAACAGGTCGACGAGGCGGCATCTTCATGATCAACTCTTCATCTTCTGGTGGTTCGAAAGCAAAAGATAGCGTGATAAATAGTTCGAATCCCAAATCTACCGCAAGAATTTGAATTGACGTAAGGCACTGCGGGATCGGTACAAGAACAAAAAGAAGGTAGGGAATCACTTCCGCCATGATATGTGTCAGTGAGTATTTAATGGCCTTTTTCAGATTCCAAAATATGAGGCGCCCTGAGGGTTATAAGTGAGTGATTATCGCATTTGCACATTTTCAAATATATCTTGTTACCTTCTAATATACCTTTCACAATGGTTGCAAAATCGTCATCCAGTAGCACCATTCCAGCTGCCTCCTTGCTTACATCACTTCCAGTCTTATTCATGGCTATTCCGAGATCTGCTTTCTTAAGCGCGGCAGCGTCGTTCACACCATCCCCTGTCACGCCAACAATATGCCCTAGGGCTTGTGCTCGAGTTACGATGTCTAATTTTTGTGCTGGGGAGGTTCTAGCGAAGACTACCTCATCGTGAAGAAGTATGTGTAGCCAGTCGCTATCAGTCAAATGTGGGAGAACCGACCCACTTAGAATGACGCACGAAGTGTTGTCCCGATCTCGGATAGGACGTGCAACAGGAAGGTCGTCGTGATACGAGAGCCGCGTGGGAGACAGAGAAGTGACAAGGTTGATGGATCTTCCAACGCTTTCTGCTGTTAACGGGTGATCGCCAGTAACCATAACTACCTTTATCCCCGCACCACGTACTTTCCCAATCGCCTGGCGTACGCCAGTTTTGGGTGGATCTTCTAGAGAAACAAGCCCGACAAATGTCAGATCTGTCTAATGCAAGGAATAGATTGGCTGGTTAGGCTGTAAAAACTCTCAACACGCGAAAACGTTGCTTTGCTCAAGTCGCCTTACAGTGGGAAAGTTATTCTTTTCCTTGTCGAATTTCCAGTTATCGGGATACTTCTTCCCGTGGAGCTGCAGCATCGCGAATGCCAACACTACAAGCATCAGTGAGCTCTTTTATTAGCCAAGTCAACGTACAACTCCGCTTGTGGTCTGAATTCAAGTCATATACCTCTATGTCCTTTTGCGCACATTTTTGCATGCGCATCTACAAACCGTTTTTCATCAGTTTCAGCTATGGGGACCGCTTTTCCATCAATCCACACGGTGCTACAGCGCTTCCAAACAACTTCCGGTGCGCCCTTCATATGAAGGGTAAGCCCGCCCGTCAAGTGTCCCTTCCGATGAATGGAGATGTGGCATTTGGTATCAGAGGTAAAGGGAACTTCAAATACTTTGGGGTACAACACTGGAAGCTTTGGGCAATTATCAATTATACTTAAACTAGAACGAGGCGGAAACTGCCAACCTTTGTCTCAATCTTACCTTATCTATGTTCATCAGCCTGGATCCAGCCCATCGTAAAAGCCCTGCTTCTGTTGCATCGCCCAATGCAACTCTTTGCTCCAACGGAACATCCGTTCGATCAAAGCGGGCTCTGGCAATAAACCGCTTTCCACCGTGAGTACAAGGCGTAACCCCATCGAAAACCTTAACCCATTTACCTGGTGCATGTAGCACTCATGTGAAGTATCTGGGGAATACCACTTCCATCCATTTTCAAAGGCCTTTCTCCCACCGGACACTCATTCGGGCCTCCAGGTCCCGCGAACCACACAACACCGCTAGTGTACAAGTTAACAACTGTCATTTCATTCTTCGTCAGAGTTCCGGTTTTATCTGTAGCGAGCATCGTAACAGCACCGAGCGTTTCAACCCCGTGAAGATCCTTTACCAGAACGCTCCGTTCCGCCATGCGTCTTCCTGCGATCGTCAATAACATCGTGACAGTGACCGCTAGCCCTTGAGGAATCCACGCAACGAGAATTCCGATCCCGAACGTTAATGCGTAGTTAAAGTTACGCCCGCGAGCGACCGCAAATAAAAAGAATATCAAAGCGGTGATAGTGGCAAGCACTGATATTGTATGACAAAAGCGGTGTATCTCTGAGGAGAGAGGCGAACGGCGCTTTTTTTCGGCCTTGGTAAGCTCGGCAATCTTTCCCAGAACTGTTGCATCTCCTGTCCCAATGACAATTCCATAAGCTTCGCCGGACACGATAACACTTCCGTTGAACACCACATTGGGAGCGTCAATCGCTTCGACATCAGGTGGAGCCCCATTCTCCAAAGCAGTCCGACCTAGTGGATCGCTTTCTCCAGTCAGACTGGACATGTCTACCTTGCAATCAGTGCTATTAAATAACACCATATCTGCGGGCACTTTAGCGCCGGCACGAATCACTGCAATATCTGCAACGAAGTGGATATCAGCAAAACCCGTCATTTACCAAGCGTACGAATGCTGTATCGACCTCCAGGGACTATCTCTTGTGCTAGTACAGTTTTCAGTTGTCCAGATCTTATCACCTCCGCTTGCGCGGGAATGAGATTTGTGAACGACCCCAAGATTGCAGCGATTTTCTGAAGTTCATAAAATTCGATACCTGCGTTAATAAACGCGACACTAATTAGGATGCATCCGATATATGCCTGTATTTGTGAGAGCATGAGAATAGATACACTCTATTTACAGCAAAAATACTCACATTTTCAAAGTAGTCCACTTGATTGATTGCGTAAGTTATCAAATATCCGGTTCCTGCCGCACCGAGAAGCACATTGAAAAGATTGCCCAAACATTGCAAGAACTTCCAGTACCAAGGAGTACGACGGGGCGGTGTAAGTGCATTTGGTCCATGTCGCTTCGCTCGCTCAACAATATCTCTTGGTGAAAGCCCTTGCGATTTCAATGGGTTCCGAGAATTAATTGTCGTGGAATATTTGTCGGCAAGACTAGCTAGACTGAGACGGTGATCAACCTGCCAAGCCATGAGCTCAAGCTATGAGTGAACGATCAACTTCAATAATATACTTACGATATCAGTCCTAAAGCCGGAGGGCTTTTGATCAATTTCTTGCTTGGTAACTGCTTCCTGCTCTTCCACCACACTCTTTCCTTTTCCTGTTGTAAGAGCGAGCCCAGACCCAGCGATACGCTCCCGCACATCGGCTGCTATGGAAGCTGCTGCAACGCGCGACTTTTCTCTCCGGATTTCATCGCTCTCGATTTCGGCCGCCGATTTTTCCACTCCGTGAAACAGAGCCGCCATGCCCTGCTTCTTTTCTGCAGTATTTGGCGCGTCATCTACTGGTTTGGAATGCGGGGCCTCGTCGTCGGACATCTCTCTATCAGCAAACCTCTATAACCACTGTCAGTGATGCATACTTTGGAACGGCGACAGTATGTAAGCATTTACGGCATCAGAGTCGCTACTGGTAGTGTATTGGCAATAACAAAAGTCACAACACAAGACACCAGGGGGTAGACTGGCGACAACCAGCCCGGAAAAGCTAAGTAATTCCCTCCTTACAACCAACTACGACTGGGCCCAATTACACATGCAATACATAACGGTTGGTCAACCGGGTAACTAAGCCCACCACCACGAGAGAAATCCTACTAAGCCTTTGATTCCAAAGCTCTTTTTGGGTCGGAGGATGTTCAGATACTACGTAAAATTGGGAATATGCACGTGGGAAAAATCAGCAAGATATACCTGCGATCGTAGCAATATAGTAATAGCAGCGTTTGCAAGGGATTATGTTGGTTTTGTCGGGTGGATGAGGTCCTCAGCACCAGAGCAGTATTCTCATGATGGATTTGAGACTTGAGCGTTGGGCAGATGCTTTGAGAGTCGAGGGATAAAGAGACAAGAGGGAAGAAGAAGAGGGGGAGTTTATATAGAAAAAGAGTGGATATATTGAGTCATGGAGCATCATGCAGGTGGCAACTGCAGAATATTCCTCTCATAGATGACCGCAAGGGATAGTAATTGCACCGTTCATGGCCACACATATTGGACCTGTCTTTTTGTTTATCTTCATGAGGTTGATGTCACAATAAATGTGGTTAATTCAACTGGCTGCAATGCTCCGTGGCACTGACATTTCTATTTTCACGCACGATTAGTGTAGAGGTGACAGAAACTGGCACTAGCTACAGCTTGTGCAGATAAAGATGGTGCATCACGTGAGTCATGTGGGGGTCATGCCGCCGCACCAGCAAGAATCTTGGACGTGTAGACTAGAATTCTAGACCCCCACATGACTCACGTGATGCACCATCTTTATCTGCACAAGCTGTACACCAGGGAATAAACCGGCGACAACTGGTTCGGAAAAGCTAAGCTACTACTAGGCAATTATACACGCAATACGTAACGGTTGGTTCTAACCGGATGATTGCCCACCACCACACGCGGTCCCTACTAGGCCTTGATCCAGAACTCTTGATGGCATTGAAGCCAGACTCTTGCATCCAGGAGCGAATCGACTGGGCAGCGTCACAAGCTGGGGGATTTTCAGTGACAAGGCTTGGAGACTACAAAAAATGGCATGTCAGCGAGATGAATGACAGAATGACAAAATGCAATCAGTACATACCAACCAAGCTCAACTAATGTGGCAGCATAATAACAGCTTTGTTGGTTCCGAGGCTGCGCTGGTTCCAGTTGGTTGTAATCAGGTGGGCAAGGTCCTCGGCACCACTACATCTGCATTCTCATGGTTGACCGAGTCGCGATGAGGGTTGTGATGTGGGTCGTGATGAGCGTTTGCGCAGATGGTTTGAGAGTCGAGGATGGGTAAAGAGGAAAGAGGGAGCAGGTCCCCTTTTATAGACCTTCAGCATGCGCCTCACTGCAGTTTAAAAAAAAAAAACATTACATGCATGCCACACCGCTTTGAGCGATAGATGGGGGTGCTGATTATGCGATATGATTAACCGGATTAATCCGGATAATAATGGGTCCTAGTGCCACTTTCAATCACCTCCACACATTGATTTCACCTAGCTAAGCCACTCTCTGGATTACGTTCACTTCCGCTATTCGATAGACTGTACCATTTGCACGCACGTTACTGTCCTTCACATTGTCAATCTACTGGCAACCAGTGTCTCATCGGTCAGGCCCCTGAAGCCGACTTGCTGGCTACTGATGATAATGAGATCCCTTGCGCGGTTATTAAGACAACTCATCACGTTAAGTGGCAGACAAACTGTCGCAGACGATTGAGCAAGCATTGTATTACGCCAGTAGCTTCGCAGGGTGGCATGGACGGGGGGCAATAACACTGCACTTTAAAAATCTAGTAATCGTCTCCGCGACTCAGTACCTCCTTCCTGGTAGGCCGCAACAGGATAGTGTGCTCCCATTGGGCAGTGTAAGAGCCGCGCACATCACACAGAGGAGGGTACGGATTGACAACTCCAGTATCCACGAGGTTCTTAAGGGCCATCAAGTACTTGGACTCTCCCAGGCGATCCAGGTATCGTCGACTATTATCGCTCGCGTCAGTATTATACAGTGCGCGACGCAAATCTAATATATGAGGGCTTACCAAAAACACAATGTTCCAAAATGTTTATTGATGGTGTTGAGAAGCGCCTTCGCCCGAGGAAGACTGGACCGGGTTGCGTCAAACATTAGCCTGCAGAATCTGACCTTGGCGAGGTTTACAACTTACCGCAGAGGGACATGGCCGACATCAAAAGCCTTCCCATAATGGCTGCATTCCATGTCTTCATGCACGTACCCCTTGCCTGTGCTTCCGAAAGTCTCTATGGCAAAGTATTCTCCTTCCTCTCGTATCATAATGGTCATAATTTGTTGAGAACGTCAAATAGGGCGTCGAACTCACCTCCATTTTAGTTTGGTCACCACCTTTAACAATCGGAATCGTCTTGCCTGCATGAATCTGATATGGTCCAATAGAATGTCCGTTCAGGTTGCGAATTGGCTTTACTAAAATATATGGAAATTGGCGTAGGGTTCAAAACTACCAACTGTCGCATTATCCGCTGTACCTTGATAGGATTTCCCATTGATCTCAACCTCGTATGATTCCATCACTTCCTGAACTGCAGCGCCAATGTCACACAATCTGACATCAATACCGGCTTCCTGAGAGAAGAACCCGAAATGTCAATAAACCCGTATGAAACTCTCACATTTAACTAGTTACACACTCGGATGCCCGTGTTGGTGGCATCTTTCACTGCGGCCAGAAGTGGGTCAAACTGGGGATCAAAAGCCATCGTAAAAGCGGAGTCAACAATACGCCCTTGAGCAGTATGTCAGCTACAATTGAGTTACAAGCACTGGGACCGATTGGACCTTACCATTCACTTGTGTTCCAAAATCAATCTTCATGACATCCCCATATTGAAGCACAGTTTTATCTCCCGTATTTGGGGTGTAATGCGCCGCACAATGATTCAGAGAACAGCCCGTCGGGAAAGCAATACCTAAGCATGCGCCAGGCAGAATTTCTGAGTTAACCGCCCTTCTTACTTTACATCAATTCGATCTACCAACCAGCCTCAAGGCCATTTTCTTCAATCAAAGTCCTGGTCCCATTTTCAATGAGTTCGACAATGTCCACCATGGCCATCCCCGGCTTTATCGTCTTCTGAGCATAACGTCGAACTTGTCTATGAACCTCTGCGGCTTTGCGAAGGTCATTATACATGTCATTCTGCATTCGCTCCAAGTATCGCTTTTCTTCACTCGTGGTGCGATACGCATTGCTATGAACGTGAGAACCATCAGAAACGATTAAACTGTACCATCTTTTGTGGTACATATTCCGACTCAAACTTACTCATCCTTGTACTCGACGAGTTCGCCTTCTGGATACACACCATCCGGGAAGAATTTGGATACTGGAATCGATGGAGGCTCCGTCTGGACTGGGTTTCCAGCAGCTGTCACTGAGCTTTCGGACGCTGGCTTCTTCTTCTTTGGCTTCTTCTTTTTCTTCTTCTTTTTTGCAGCCTCCGTTGCAGAGTCTTCAATCACGTCTTCCTCCTCTGAAGCCGCGTCGCCTTCCACTGCCAACTCCAAGCTTCCATGACAATTGGCGGCTTGTGATGTCTTGACGTGCCCGTGTGTAGTGACGTTACCGACTGCAAATTAGAGATATCAGTGTACATCCTCCAGTTGACAGCTCCAAATAAAGAGCATTTCTCAGAAGGAGCTGTTGCACCACCGAGAAAGAACAAAAACGTACGAGGATTAGGCGCCTCGCCATTCAGGCCGTTTGATACTTGGAAACTTTCCATCTGGTCCTTGTTGCCTTTTTCTACGTTGGGGTGTCGAAATCCACTTCGTCACAGTTTTTTTGATTAGCCAATTTGGCTAATTTCGGATAAATGACAGTTATGAGGCTTGCACAGGTTACCCCCTCCCCCAAGACTGGAGGGGCAATCTTTCCTTTGCATCTTGTAAGATTCAAATATTAAGATGCAAGCGGCTGGAGTATTTAGCACAGGGGCGGTCAAAGACCATGCCAGGCAGGAGCTTATAGACTTGTTGGACTCGGTAGGTCTTTCCATAATTTTTTTGGAAGATAAACTCAATCCGACAGGACATAATGTGCAAGGTGCGAGGCAAAAAGGGATTGGTCATAGATCCTTCCTTGAGCGGGCCCTTGAGTTTGGTGGCAGAGTTTACATTGTTAAAGGTCCGTAGGTTAGTTGATTGATTACTGTTTAAAAATCTGGTGACCGGGGACACCATTCGAGTGCTAAAGCTACCAACCTTCTTGCAGGAGCACGGCGTGGAAAAGATCTATCATTTGGCACCTGGAAAACTGGATACAGACTGCAAAAGTCTAATTTATATCTGCAGGCCTAAAGTTGGTCATGTGAAATGTATTGCAGGTACTATATTTTTTTTTCCGGTATTCATACTGTCATGATCCGTTTGTTCACTCGCTTCCGGTAGGCCATATTCAGACACATAGTCAGCATGGCGTGAAAATCAGCTACAGTATCTTTTTTGTGCCACGTCGCTCGCTAATTTGCGAGCGGGTCCTGGAAGAGGAGGGTGTCTTTGGAGATGTCATCGTGGGAGAATACCATTTGGATCTTTTACCTCTGGAAGACGATTTGCTGTCTCTTGAGCTGGATTCTGCGTTTCGTGAACTTTACTTGGTGGGTATTATGTATGTTGGCTCCATCGCTCGCCTAGCTGCGGAATGAGTCAGGCGTCTCATGGATGACTCCTGCAGGAAGGGGATACAACAGCCATATTTTGCATGGCGAAAGCACTGATGAAACTGCAAACCATGTTTGGATTAATTCCGCGTATTGTTGGGAAGGGCCAGTACGCACGAGTATGTTCAATCTCTTTCCGCCAGATGGAGAGTATGCTAAGTGGTTCGGCAACAGTCGCTTGCTGATCTTCTCTTACGCATGCGGCACGAAGTCCTCGCCAGTGCGGAGGATGAGGAAGCTTCTGCTAAAATTTTCCCTGGCTTCTCGGAAATTGATGCAATGGTCGTTATCGATCGAACGGTGGATCTCATAACACCCATGTCCACGCAGCTTACATACGAGGGTCTCATAGACGAAGTGTTCGGGATTCGGAGCAGTGAGTGAGCAAATGTGAATAATCTCTTATCTTTCTCTGTAATCACTTGAATTCTTGATAGCCTTTGTCGAATTGGACCCGTCAATGATTGGTGGTCCAAGCGCCGTTCCCTCCGGTGGTTCGTCAACCGCTCACACGCCGGCTGCTGCCACCAAAGCCAAGAAAGTACCTTTGAATAGTTCCGATAGACTATTTGCACAGCTGAGAGACCTTAATTTTGCCGTGGTTGGAGGTCTGCTGAGCCAAGTTGCGCGACGCATACATGAGGACTATGAGGTTTGTACCTCGATCTTCCTCCCACCTTTAATGCCGCAAAGCATGTCTTACATACTTTTCGTATAGGGACGGCACCAAGCCAGGACAGTCACGCAGATCAAGGATTTCATCGGCAAGCTTGGGAATCTCCAGGCGGAACATCAATCTTTGAAGCTGCGTAAGTTGACCATCATGGTGAACAAAGAAAAGGATTGCTGACTGTGTTAGAATGTTAATGCAGACACCGGAATTGCCGAAGAAGTGACGAAGTATACAAGAGACAAGGATTTCAACAGCATGCTTGAGGTTCAACAGAGTATGTGTGTGTGAACACTAGAGAGTAGGGCTCAAGTCCAAAAACTGAGGAGACTTGTTGCAGATTTCGTTGCCGGCATTATTAGTAAACCACACATCGATTACATTGAGGAGCTCATCGATAAACAGACACCCTTGGTGCAGACTTTGCGTCTCCTCAGCCTGTATTCTCTCGTAGATGGTGGGCTCAAAACAAAACAGTACGAAAATTTTCGCCGCGATATTATTCAGGTATGACTCCGCACTCGTAGATCGCTGCCTGTGACGTAACATTAAATGTCGATAAATACTTTAGACCTACGGCCATGAACATATCCTCACTCTGCAAAATTTGGCCAGAGTCGGCATACTTCGTAAGCAGGACACATCCCGGCATGTTTACCCACAAATACGGAAAGCCTTCCGACTTATTGTGGATGATGTGAATGAGCACCAACCGAACGATATATCATACGTATACTCTGGATATGCACCTATATCCGTTCGATTGGTTCAAGCGGCGTGCCAGAAAGGTGTAGGCGGCGGGAGCACCACCTGGGAGAAGTCAGTTGCCGGTCCGGCACCTGTTGGATGGAAGGGATGGGAAGAACCAATGCGGCTTTTGCCAGGCCCGACATTCGAAGAGGTCCAGAGAACCGGCGATACCAGAGTCGTAGCGAAAGGTGCGTGGTATGATGGAACTTAGCTGTACCACATGTGTGCTCAGCGTCTCCTTGTTTCACTGCCATGTTAGCAGTAAAACCTAAACAGAAGGTAACGTTGATCGTTTTCCTGGGAGGCTGCACGTTTACCGAAGTGTCTGCGCTTCGATTCCTTTCACAGCAAGACGAAGGTGAGATCATCTGCGCATCAGCTGACTTCGGCGAGACTCTGATATATTGGATAATACCGACGAATAGGACACCGGGAATTCATTATAGCTACCACGAATATGATCAGTGGATCTTCAATGCTAAAATCGCTTATGGCGAATTTCAGTCGGGCACCTTTAAATCCATAGCCGAAGGGCAACGGATATGGTCCTATTAATTGAAGTCGGTTACAATGTGGTAGCGATTGGAATTTTTTTGGCTACTATCAGCGTGTATTCAGCCCAATGCCTAATAGCGGATATCATCTCCCAGTAGCGACTTTATTTAATAGCCCGTTACGTATTCGGTAAAATTCCTCGACATCTTGGCTGATGCTAGTCTTCCCAATTGCTTGTAATGCTGGTGTTGATGGAACCAGTCCATTTTCTGAGCAGTCGAGGCACGAACGAGATCCCTCCCCCGGGCTGGTGTGCAGTGCGCTTGTTGGTCTCGATGGGTTTCCAGGGCCATATCTCTCGACGCGGGATGTTGATGGTGAAGAATGGCGTGACGGTATCTTGGAATCGATGTGAAAGACATGGGATATCGGGACGTTGGAAGTAATTTGTGGTGTAGAAGAGCTAACATTTGGAGGATATACATATTTCGGCAGCGCCTGCGGCGAGACAATTGATATCAGAACGAATACATCCAGGGAAGAAGACCATCGCCTTTCAGAGCGTGAACTCACAATTCGCTGTCGCGTTGAACCTGGTCGGCCCCTGTCTGCGGAGTTAGCCAGTGGTGGTTCTGACATGTAGTCATTTGGTTCGGAATGCATATTGTTCGGCCCTCCTATCTCAAATGCTTGGGCCAACTTGGCCGCGTATGCTCCCGCGGTAGGCGCTGTCATTTGATACGTCTCCCATACTGAGGCCGAAGCAGAATTAGACGATATCACTGTCCTCGTCTCTTCAACGGACTTTGTGCTATCGTACCGAGCACTTGCAGATGTTTCTGCTCTGCTGGATGATATTATAGGCATGGAAGACCACCTGGGACGCGAGGTCTCAAGCGTCGAACTTCTTTCCAACCTAGCCTCATCATTTTCTGATTGCTGCAGTAAGGGATCCTCCGTGGCAAGGTACACATGTATGTACCAATACTCAAAATCGCGCGTAAGCCGATGCCGGGCTTGCTCGAGCAGGTGCTGCAGATGCTCGATCTCAATTTTCAAGTCTTTAAGTTGCTGGTACGCTGCTTTGTACCTTTCGAAATATATACTCGTATTTAAGGGAGAAGCCATGATGGTCGTGTCTTCTCCGTGTCTTACCTGGCAGACGACTCTAACGCTCTCTTGCGTAAATCTACGCTCTGCTCCTCTGCAGCAGCGTCACCGACCTCTGTCTGTGCCAGCGTGGCCTTCATTGCCTCTGTGAAAGCGTGTTTTGAGTTTACCCAAAGACAGATTTTATTTGAAGCAAGCATCCATTCTAACGTACTGATGGCTGATCGCAGCTGGCTCGCTTGTTCCCCCAGTGCTTTAGCTTCCGCGTATTTATTTTTCAGCAGTGTCTTTTGCCCCTCGATCCACTCTCCTGATGGATATCCTCTCTTGAAAATCTCAAATGCCTTCGCCTTTTCCGTGGTGAGCTGTGGTACGCTCGCTGCAAGCCGTCCAGTCAATCCCAGCAAGGCTGATGTGTCCCCCCACACAGCGAGATCCGATATGATTCATATATTATCTCTGGAACTTTGAATGACACAAAACTAACCATTGGAGCCCCAGTTTGTTTGCATCCTCTCTGATCCAACATCCCCGAGTTGAAACGGCTGCTCCATGATGCGTTCAGCTCGAGGCTGTCGTTATTCGGTTACTCACCATCATGAGCCAGTGCTGACGACGGACTTCAAAACCGGTTTACAACTTACCGTTTGTAGTAGATCCACTGTTTTGGCCCTATCTTCAGTGTTATAATTATTCACCATGCTAACGAGGACGTCTACGCAAATTGTGACAGAGGAAGTTTACAATTCGGTCAGTTTGAAGAAAGACGGATGATCCACCTACTGATCTCGTTGTTCCGGTGAGCTAGTAGCTGTCTTAATCTCATCAATTCATTCTCTTGAAGCACATCGTTAGCAGGCTGGCTATAGGTTCCTTCAGCTGGAGGCTTCTCGGCAGCTGCTCCCCCGTCATGGACTGCGGAACGGGCCACTGTGATATATCGCTGTATACAAAAAATGAGGAATCTTATAATATACGATTTTCAAGGATAGTTTCAGCTCCAAACCTTCATGACGCGGAAAGCTTCATCAATCTTGCGGAAGTCACTAAATACAAGGGATGCGTCAAGGGAAGGGTCGCATATGAAGTCATCAACAGCTTCCTTGACTCTAGAAAGGGGAAAAAATTGAGCTTAAATCGAGCGGGATTCCTTTTAGAATTTCATTCCGCGTGCACCTGTCCTTTTCGTAATCTGGTAAGGTTTCTCCATCTGATTGTCCTGCTTCACCGCGAGCAATGGCGAGCTCCGCCTTTAGTCGGGCAACTTCGCGTTTCAGCCGAATAATCGCCAATCGCGGATCCAGCTCTTCATTAAGGATCGCATGGTTAGCAATCAATGCGACGCGTTGAGCAAACCGGCAAGTGGAAATTGATTCCTACATTTGTGGGTAGCGATTATTTATTGTCAATTATTCTGGTGTCAGTACCAGTTGGCTTACATCGATTAATTCATCCTCAACGGCAACAGTGGCAACCATGGTAGTTCGACAGTTTCCTCCCAGTGAATCCCGGAGCACACTAGTCATCATTGAATTGCGATACGGGACGTGTGTTCGTCTTCCAAGTGCCTTCTCATGCAGAGCTATGATGACTTGTTCAAGATAGTGCAGTGACAAATTGATATATTTTGCTTCCTTTAAGAGGTTGCCTCCTATTCCTGTTCGCGCAACTCGTTCGGATCTGATGACTTTGATTAGCATACCCACCCCACAGGACTATCTTTTGTTGGAACCTTCACCTTCACTCACCCAGCAAGATCCACTAAATGTAGTTTGCTTCTACGTATTCTATCTTCACCTTCCTTTCTCCCAAGCATGCTGATGATGAACAAACAATGGCTGCGTGATGATGCCGGATTGGATGGTGTCTCGGCAATCATGCGATTTGTATCGCCAATAAATAAATGATTTAAAGCGTCCTCTTCATCCTTCGCGGGCATGGCGGCGAGGTTCCGCAAATGTATATTACCCTCTTCATCCTCCTGTAGCGTAACTTTACTTTTACAATTGTCGGTGACGATATCGCTAACGTAAATATGAAAATTGCTCGTTCATCACTCACGGAAGATCCTCTAGTTTTTTGGCGTCTCGTGTGTTATCAAGAAGATCATACCCAATTTCATTGTAGATTTCCAAGTATGAGACGCTCACTTCATAATGAAAATCATGCCTCTGCCAGCGTATTTGCGCGTCAGTGTAGGGTAAGGATTGGCAGGCTCAGCGCATCGTACTTTTTGGATTTCCTTGAAAATGAATTGCAAGGTCCGCGGAATAAGACCGCGGTCGGCATATCGCTCAGCACCACCGGTTATTGTGAATGTTTTGCCTGAGCCGGTCTTCGTGAAAGGAAAACGTTAGCTTTCAAGCCGCACTCTTCTGGCTGGTCTCTGACCGAGGCCTACAGCACATAGTACCTGGCCATAGGCGAATATGGTACCATTATATCCATCCATAACGCTGGCAGAAGTAGAATATTATGAGTACGGCATGTAGTCTCCCGAGGGTTCAAATGCTAAATTGCTAAATTACCTCAAGACAACCGGTTTGGCTACTATATCGAACACTTCGTCTTGGCCCGTCGTGACATCGAAAACTCTATCGAAACCAAATTCATACACTTCCCTTTGATTATTCACCAACCCCGCGACTTGGTCTCGCGGGACTCTGAACCCAATTCGCGGTTTGTCTTGCTCGGCAGGAGAGCACCAATAACGTTCAGGTGTTACGTGGAGTTTGGTATTTGGGCGGGTTGGTCGTACCCGAGCGTATATCTGTATCGTACTAGGAGAAGCCGCCATGGATCTATTGGTACTGGTGGGAGTATCTACCTGCACACTGTCATGGTCGGGGGTGGTCTCCTGGACGGGAGGTGCCGACGCATGTCCACCACTGGTGCGCTCCATGGTCTGGGAGGACAGCGAGACTAAGTCTGGGTGCAACGCGCACGCGTCCCTGAGGTAAACTGTCAGCGTCAACTTGACCGGGACGTTTTATGGCATGTAAGATGACATGGGCATAACCCCAAACAACTCCCCGGGATTATCACGGCGGAAGCCCGCGGGGTTAGAAATCAGGCCTCTTCTCTCTCTCTACCCAATTGGTCGAAGAAAATCACTAGCAGGTTCAGAATCTGCGTCTCACTTAGAAAGTTTAGCATCGTTGTCGAGTGAGCCGAGGAGCGGAGACCTTACCCCTGACTCGGCATTAGTTGCCGCGGTTGAAACGGATATAGTGGGAAGTCAGGAAGTACGTTATGACGCAGCCGATTTCGAGTTCATTGCCCCTCTGGAGCGAAGTAAGTTCAACAGGTTATATTGCAGTTTTGCTCTTGACGAAGTATTGCTTCAGTGGTTGCAAAAGTGCTGCACAAACCGAGTGGCATTACCATGGCCCGCAAGATTCTTCCGATAACGACACGTGAGAATACGCCCAGAGCAAAAGAAAGGAACTTGATATTGCGAGAACTTTCAATATTGCGCAAGCTCCGTTCACCATATGTTGTGACCTTCCTCGGAGCATACATCAATGAAGGGGACATAGTAATGCTGTTGGAATATATGGATTTAGGGTCATTAAGCAATGTCTACCTGAAGACTGGACCTATAGAAGAAGCATATGTTGGTAAAGTCGCAGTGCAGGTATGAGCATTCGTGGTTCGTACACTGAAAAGACCAAAAATGAACACCGCTTGAAGGTCTTACGGGGTTTATGTTATCTCTATGACGAGTGTCATATTGTTCATAGAGGTATATACGTGCCGCAGGAGCTTTTGCTACTAGGCTGATTATTGTCGCGTTGACCATTCCCGGCAGATATCAAACCTGCCAATCTCCTACTGAATCGACTGGGAGAGGTGAAGATATCCGATTTTGGCGTCAGCAAGGACCTTGTTGAATCAGCGGCACTAACAGTGAGTCAAGATCTGGTTATGGTGGCCTGTGATCGGGGTACTGAACACAACGTCCAAACCAGTTCACAGGGACACAAGGGTATATGGCACCAGAAAGGTCTTGCGCTAGCATGCCCATAACAGTTATTTCTGATATATGGAGTCTTGGTGTGACCTTGATGGAGATTGCATTAGCAAAATTCCCTTATCCACCTTTGACATCGGTTCTGGACTTGATAGAATTCGTCCAGGAAGGTCCTACCCCTTCCTTACCTCCAGGACGTTTCTCGGAGTCTTTCGAACAATTTATCAATCTCTGGTATGTCACAGAACTTCAACTCAAGAAAAAATTGATTGCAGTATATTTTCTGACAACACATAGTCTGATCAAAGATCCGGCACAACGACCCTCACCATCGGTTCTCCTAGCAGAGCCCTTCTGTGCGAATGCTATTGTAGATGGATTGGATATGCGGGAATGGGCTGAGTCCATTGCAACAAGAATCCTAGGTTGATGGTGGACAAGGTATTTACCGGATACACGCGCCGAAGGAACAGTAGATACCACCCGCCAGCTGAAAGTTCGGAGTCATGACTATCATGAGAGGGTCACCGCTCTTGAATCCTCCACTTCGCCTCTTACTTTGATGCTGGATCTAATACGATCCAAACTCGTCCATCCATTCCTGGTACCGCTTCAGATCGGCCTGGCTGACTGATGATTGTATTTTCGATATGGCCGCTTCAAAATCTTCCTTTGTGGCCGGCGCTTCAAGTTCCTCTATGTCAGTAGTTCGCGTCAAATGTGTGGTCAATAGAAAAGACTTCCGTAACATCTAGTCGCTGTCTACCTTTAGAAATACTGCGGATCTGTTCTGGACTGAGACCGCGAATCCGTTTGCGCATGCTCATCATGGACGCATCGCGGCATATCTAAGCGGGTGCCAATGATGAGGGGGAGAACATAACGATAAAACAAATTGAGACGAACATTGGTTATATCAGCGCCGCTATATCCGTCGATCTTTTCAGCCAGTTCTTCCAGAACAACATCATCTGCGATTTTAATAGATTGCAGGTTTAATCGCAGCAGTTCCCGGCGGGTTTCTAAGTCGGGTAAAGGTATGTCTGGGAAAGGTCGCAAATGTCTCAATCACTGCCCGATACGGTAAGTTGACGAGTGCCTCACATATTCTCTTTTCGAGACGTCTTCGCAATGCCTCATCAATATGCCATGGAAAATTGGTTGCCGCTAAAACCATTACAATGGGCTCTCTCTCACCCTCGGCATTGGTACCCAGGGAGCCGCTGATACCGTCCATTTGCATGAGAATCTCAGATTTGACTCTACGACTGGCTTCATGCTCAGAGCCCTCTCCCCTCGTGCTGCACACAGAATCGATTTCATCGATGAAGATGGTCGAGGGGGCATAATGTCGAGCCATTTCGAAAAGCAACTAGATGGAATTGATGAGGGAGGGCTATCAGTAAATGCAAAGTCTGGTGACTTACTCGAACAATTTTTTCCGAATCCCCACGCCATTTGGACGTCAACATACTTGCTGTCACGTTAAAAAACGTGGTCCCACATTCCTAATATGACGATTGGAGATTCTCTTGACAGCAAGCAAGCGCAAATCTTTGTTCTTACAGTTGCCACGGCCTTGGCCAGTAGAGTCTTCCCCGTACCAGGCGGACCAGTCATCAACACGCCTTTCCAAGGCCTACGTATCCCTGTAATATAAATGATAAGTGGGTTAACAAGGCTTTGCAATACCAAGCTATTTCTTGTAAGTGTTATTAGCCAGGAACAAGGGCAGAACCTTGGAAGAAATCAGGCATCCAAAGGGGCAGGACAATCGCTTCTTCCAGCAGACTCTTGGCCTCTCGTAAACCTTGAATTACAATTCATGTGAGGAGCATTAGCGAAATGGCAGCGGCTACAAATCATGTGCCCCAGTAACCTGCAATGTCTGTCCATCTCACATTGGGGGTCGACTGCAAGATATCCCGCTTAACGATCTCGACAAGTTCCTTATCATAACCGGCACCATCAAAGCTACGAGCATTATATCTTTGTTACCAAGTGGGTATTACAAGTCTTCACGCGTCAACTTACTTCGGTTTCCCATTTTCGTCAGTCTCTGGTGCAACCTTTTCCTTGTTGTCCTCTTTTTCTCTAGCCACTCGGTCAACGAGAGTCGGTTGAGATTGCGCTTTCCGAACCAACTTCTTCCCTGGAGGAGGCGATGCTGTGCCAGGTTTGCCACTACTGGAAGATCTAATACAGTGTGATGCAACCAGACTTGCTCAGAATATCGTCGGATTTTGACATCAATTCGTGCTCACTTGCTTCCTCCAATCTTCCCCTTACTGACGGCAGATTTTGAGACAGCCGCCGCTTTCCCACGTTGTGCAGCTGCCCGTGCTGAAGATATGCTCGAATTTACTTGATTTCGCGCCCATGAGGGTAAATTGTCCTCATCTGAAAAGATAGCTGAAATCATCCAGTCCAGTCAATAAAGGAGGATTCCAGAGTATACCGTTTGCTTTGGTCTTGCGATATATTGGTCTTCGTGCTGGTGGATCAGGGGCCGGCCAAACATCCTTATCTACCGGGTCGCCATACGATGGTTCATCGTCCAAAGAGGATTTGCTCCTAGTGAAGGAATTGGAGCCCAAGGGTCTCTCCTAGCACATGAAACGTGCTTCAGCATCAACAATATCGAGTATTTGCTATTCCTGTACCTTGAAGCTCGCCAGCTCCATTCCTATATCTTTAATTACTTGGAATTCCAGCGACAGTTCCTGCCGCGTGAGAAGCCATCGTTCTCGTAAGCTTGTGTCGCTCACCGTCTTCGCATAGCTGCAAGATGATCACTACCGACGTCACATTTCTGTACGAAAGAATTGCTAGATACTTTACAGCTGAATGGTTTGTAGTATACTCTCAAAATACAGGAGGGCCGTATCGTAGTTCCCGAGCAGAGCACATTCACGAGCTATTTGGAGTTCTTTATCAAAGATATCAGCAGCTTTATATGTGCCGATGGAGGAGGTAAAACTCACCTGTTGGCACCCCCTCGATTGTGCGTGGCATGTTGAGAATAAAGCCTGGTATAGGAGAATCACCGATAGAAACCCTTGCCCACGCGAACGCGTCTTCGAGGTTCATTCCCGTACACGGTGACAATCGATGAGAGGAAGTTCCATTCACCGCTCGCCAGACGCCATAGAACCGTTCAGACAAGAAGTGGATCAAATTCTAAGCGTGCGGTGCGGGAGCCTCCAAGGTACAACATCTGATGTGGTTCACGGAAGGCCATATCCCGCAGCGTACGCGGATTTGGTGCAGGATGTACTCGACGACAAGCAATGTGCGTTTGACATTCCTGTTGTTGGAATGTGATCTTCGCAAGAGTTCTCCTGATGTAATTTTACCACTGGACTTGTAGATGAGTCCGCTCTTCGTATAATAGACGCATTTGCTTCCTCGAGATATTTCCCGCCAACGTAAGATCCTACAACTTATCTAGCCGGTACATTGGATATTCAAACACCACATCGTGCCACGCAGCTCGATTTTGTTTGCACTGTTCAGTCTTTCCACATTGCCTCGATGTCTTTCTGAAGGAATACCGCAGGCTGCGGTCGCCATACTTCAACAGGTGCTCAAGGTGCATGGCAGTGCCCCTTTCTACCAGCTGTTTTCCGGACCTACGAGTGATGATGAACAAACAGCGACTGGGAAAGTACTCTGGGACGTCACGGCGGATGCATGGGGCCTTTGGCAGACAGGCATCACCGAATGCCTGCCGGGACTGGCCAAAGTGCAGCAAGGCCGAATGGTGATGAATTTTCTTCTGGAACTTGTCCGTACCGATATCGGCCTAGCTTTCCATAAAGGTATCTCCCATCTAGACAGCATTCTACCCGACGCATATGCCCATTCTTCTCATTCTTCGATGTGGGTTAGACAGCATCGGTACTTCCCTCGTTGCTACTCTCCTTGGTCGTCATCGCAAGATTAATATGTCCAGTGCGGTGGAAGTTATCTCTTCAATGCTTCAATTTGAGCTCGCAGATTCAGAGGTCTTGCGGACTGCTGCTCAATGGGTCTCTGAGGTGACATATTTCCGACGTGTGAGCTTTCTTTTGAAATGAGTCCCTAACTAACTCACGTTCTTTCGGGCAGCTGTCGCTTCTTGTATTTGCTGATCATATAGAAATGAAGTCTTTTTTGCGAATGTTCACCCCTACTCTCAGGAGTTTGGATCGCCCACGTCTGTATGAGTTCCTGGAGGTATTTTATAGTTCCATGGTTTTGAAAACGCATTCTTTCCTAATCGAGGCGACCGCAACTTGGGTCGCCCGTAGTACCTTCCATTTTCCCATCTCAAGGTAGCCCTTGCTGACCTCATCTTGACTCAATTGTGTGTGTACCCAACGTCCTCAAGATCAAGCCGCAAAGCCAGTCTTGGTGATTGGTCCACGAGTTGCTCTGCACACGCAGTATCCTTATGTCTACCTCAACTGAATTATCATCGCCACGCCACACCTTCTAAGCCTAGCGATTGGGATACAGTACTGCAATTATTCACAATCATCGCTTATGAACAAAAAACAGATTGCCCGGAAGAGAAGGGTGCCATACGGTACTCTGTCTGGGAAATGTACAAGCGAGCGGAACAAGGTACCGAGGTTGCTGTAAATGCAAATGAGCTGGAAATTATTACGTTGGTTTTGTCATCATGAGCCGATATTTAGACTTGAGAAAGGCCGAGCTGCCACCCATGTAGCAAAAGTTTGCAGACGTAGAATATGCTTAATTAGCTCACTTGTAGTTGACAAAGAACGAAGAAATCCTTGGCCTGGACGTGCCCTATTAAGAGCGTAGAATCTGACTTAAATCCTTGACGTCACCGCCCCTGTAAGATCCTGGGGACGTCCCCTTTGCAGGGGAATCTCGCCCGGCAATGCCACGCCCAGAGCCATCTGCATTGAATCTATGCTTGTGAGTTCCGGTGTACTGTCAGCAGAACTATATTAGCAACTGTACTGGTGACCAATGGATAACTTGATGCTGCGCACCTGGCCAGAATTGGTAAGCCGGTCAAAAACGGAGCCACCCTTGGCATTCTAGCTGCAAAGTAAATACGTGTCACTTGAACCGTATGGAAATGGGTGACTTACCGCGCCATAGGATTTGTCAATTTTGGCCTGAGGTGTTTTGGGCTTGTTGGCCAAATTCGTGTTTGAGCCCAATTTCGAGCTCTTGGGCTTGCTAGACGCTAAATCTTGTTCCATCAAGTCCCACACATTTGCAGTAGGAAAGATGATGAGGCGAAGTTTCCAGGAACTTGAGTAGGACGAGCTTTGCTCTATGGCCACTTACCAAGTCTTTCAGAGCTGGCGGTAACGACACTTGAGTGACCTCTTTTGCCAGCGCTGCTTGTCAGTTCTTGTTTGTCTCCTTCTTCGGGATCAATGGACACTGGAAGTCCGCGAACAGAGGTCTCTTCTCGGTTAGTAATTTTCGACAGCTGATCAGTCGCACTTGGGCGATCGCGTCCTTCGGCACCGCGTCCGCGCCCCGCTTCGTCAAAGCGAAGTTTGTGGGTTCCTGTATACTTGGACGTATCGGTCAGGCGGTCAACAATGCCGTCTGACTTTGGCGTCTTATACCGCAAATGAACATGTCAGTGAAACTGTAACAAAAGATGGCCATCTGAATACCGCGCTGTCTCACCGTGCCAGTGGCAATAGGACCTCCTCCTTTTTTCATGATAGTGCTAATAACCGCATCCAGTGCCTGCCGACCCTGTTTACCAGGATACTTTTTCACGGCGATCTCAGTGAGTCCATCGATGAAAGTATTCCAGTCGAGCTTGCGGGCACCTTTGGTTTTAACCTGTAAGCAGTGATCATCAGTTTCGCCCACTGTTCGCTGCCCGTCGATCAAACAACCCACAAACCTTGTTAAAGATTATGTCGACATCCGTGGTGGTCACACGTTTGTTATCAATCAGCCTGTTATCGCGGGCAAACTTCGCAAATTTTGCACCTGGAGGAAATGGCGTCGCTGCGGCATTAGGTCCTTCTGCCAGTTGATAACAGTTCTATCAAGGAGTTACCATCCATTGTCGGCCCGGCAATGGACTCCATCGATCCATGAGGATTGCTGAGATTGCGATTGGAGCCGAAAGCACAGAAAGCCTCGTAAATTTCGCGCAAGTCTTCGAGAGTACCCATTGTCTTTTTTTTTTGAAATTTCGAGTGGAACGTACAGTATTGTGAGAGGCGGAGTTGAGCTGGCAAGCTGCTTACTTAGCAGGGCGGTAATACAATACATGGATGACGAATCACGTGATTAATCTGGTTAATTATCTCCACGACGCGAGGCGTTCGGGGGTACAGTAAAATAGTGTAGAGGTGACAGAAACTGGCACTAGCTACTACACCAGGGAATAAACCGGCGACAACCGGTTCGGAAAAGCCAACTAAGCTACTACTAAGCAATTATACATGCAATACGTAACGGTTGGTTCTAACCGGATAACTGCCCATCACTACACGCGGTCCCTACTAGGCCTTGATCTGGAACTCTTGATGGCATTGAAGCCAGACTCTTGCATCCAGGAGCGAATCGACTGGGCAGCATCACAAGCCAGAGGATGTTCAGTAACGAAGGCTTGGAGACTAAAAACTGCATGTTAGCCAGATGACCTGATGACAGAATGACAAAATTGTAACGGGATTTTTTGTTGGTAGACTATGGTAAAGACAACTTGGGTCTCCTAGCAGGTTATGTGGGTGTCTGTACTAGGAATCGTAGTCTCCGAATCCTTTCTTTGGGCGTCGGTAGCGACTTGAGGGCGAGAGGCAAGGAGAGTCAGTTAGTTGTGAACTGAGCAGGATTTAGAGGCTTCAGTGCAGGTGATCATGTAATGTCAATCGACCAGATTGCTCTAGTCGACATTTTCGGGCAAATCATTGGGCCCTGTGAGAGGGCTGTATAAAGACTTTGTTGTTAATACAAGAGAAAGGGAACTATTGATAGTTCCTCACATTGCTAACTAGGCTAGTTGTTCTTCTAGTTTTTCCTTGCTTGCTGCCTCCCTTTCTGAGGGGCTTTGGAGCAGCGCTCTTTTATGCTTGCTCCCTCCTTTGGCGGGGCATCAGCATGAGATTTCCCACCTCCGCCGGTGCAGTCCCTCTTGCACCAATTGGAAGTGATTGGCACTAGCAAATAAAGGGACAATAATCTTCTAACTACGGGGCCGCCTCAGAACCGAACGACTTTGACAGGTCATCGGCGCGGCAGGGCTTACATAATCTAACTACTGTTATGCACTGCTCCATAATTTGGCCATACATGGCTACATGATCACTATAGCTATATATGGTGATATGAGGACAAGATGCATCGCGAAAATCTAAGTTTGCACTTGTGTGCAAATACCAAAGGACAGGTCTACCTTACACCCCCCGCAGATTATACCTGCAGCAGTAGCAAAGGCTTTAATCTCTTCTTGACCTTTCTTTTGGTCTGGAAACAAGAGCTCTATCTACTTCTATGTAGTGAGGTCCTAGGGTTTTCCTCATCCCCTGGGTGTCTCCTCAGTTTGCCCAGACCGGTTGAGCTCTGTGGCTCGGCCAGTGGGGCTGTCCCCGGGACTACTGGGCTTTCCCAGCGTGACCCATGCAATTGCATCTCATGCAACACTTTATGTATGTACGATTTTCATCATGATGAGGTAATTGTTTGGGGGCTGACCCCTGGAGCAGCTTCACCCAGTGCCCATGGGGACCGTTTGCTGAGTTGTCGCTCCATTTCTGGCCCTTTTTATACTTTATACAATTTGGGGGCTGACCCCTGGAGCAGCTTCACCTGGTGCCCACAGGGACCATTTGCTGAGTCGTCACTCATTTTGGTCATGTATATACTTTATACAAAAGTGCACTTATCACTATCTTGGTGCTAGACAAGCCTTCTACTTTTGTTGTGTCATCTACGTACTAAAGCCCTACTGAATATACATGTGTACTTGGAAGCCACTTTTTATGTACAAAGAACCAGTTGCTTTGTCCTTTTAGATGGGAGCATATTTCACTTTCCCCCCTATCATTCTTACTACCCACTGTTGATAACATCTTTCTTCAAAGAATGTCTTTTCTCCACATGGACATCACAATATGCCTTGGTCAATAATCTCCTTGACTTCATATTCGGGAATCCCTGCAATATGAACAGGAGGTGGCAGTACTACTATGTTCCTATAGCAGTGAGATGCTGGGTCTTCATATTTCATTAGGACACTAATGTGGAAGATAGGATATAAGGCGGATAAGCGAGTATCCTGTAACTTGAGCTTGTAGGTGTCTGGATAAGGTCCTATTGCTTTGATTGTGTAGGGACCGATCCAGCTAGCAGCTAGCTTTGCTGGTTTTCACAAACTAATGTCTACCTCAATCCCTTTGTGATTGAGTAGGACCTGGTCTCCTATGGCAAAGGTAATAGCTGTGCATCCTTTGTCATAGTTGTAACGACGAGGACGTCTTCGAGAGATCGCGAGTAAGCCCAAATCGGACGCGGGAAGCACGAATCGCGTGACCAACTCCACCGATTGGGTTACCGCGACCGAAAAAACCGGTTCGGAGAATGGCAATTGGCGCATTAGATTTCAGCGTGCCTCGTACAACCTGTGGAGGCCCGAGCCAGTGCGGAAAAGGAAGAGATCGGTACCGCCACCAATAAATCAGTTGCGGTGCAGCGACACCCATTAGTTTAGTTTAGTTTAACAGTTTATCCAAGAATCTTGTATAAAAAGGATGTATTCAATAAAATAAGTCGGGGGCAGAAGCCGTAGCGACAAAAAATCCCCATAACTCGCTTCTCAACTCCAATCTTAGGTTAACAGGAACCTAACAGAGCGCTTCAACGGCCTGATCACCCGTACCGAAGCCTCTAAATCCTGCTCGGTTCACAACTAACCGACTCTCCTTGCCTCTCGCCCTCAAGTCGCTACCGACGCCCAAAGAAAGGATTTGGAGACTACGATTCCTAGTACGGACACCCACACAACCTGCTAGGAGACCCAAGTTGTCTTTACTGTAGTCTACCAACAAAAAATCCGTTACATGGTGGAGAAGCGCGACGAACCGCCTTCCCCTCTCAAATTCAGCTGAAAACCTTATTCGGTCGTACCGAAACTCTTGCGCAAACCGAGATCCGCTCAGGTAGCTACTCGGAAACCTTTTCTCTCGTTTCGGAGACAGAACTTCACGAAACCGAGAATGATGCCGGTCGAACGCTCACCAACGCGAGGCCGCTCACCTGTGATCCAGACTCGTAGTCAGGGTCCTGCGGAGGACGTCGAAGTCCCTCCCGCAACACGCCCAAGGCGTTCAGGGAACGAATCTTGTATAAAAAGGATGTATTCAATAAAATAAGTCGGGGGCAGAAGCCGTAGCGACACAAAATCCCCATAACTCGCTTCTCAACTCCAATCTTAGGTTAACAGGAACCTAACAGAGCGCTTCAACGGCCTGATCACCCGTACCGAAGCCTCTAAATCCTGCTCGGTTCACAACTAACCGACTCTCCTTGCCTCTCGCCCCCAAGTCGCTACCGACGCCCAAAGAAAGGATTTGGAGACTACGATTCCTAGTACGGACACCCACACAACCTGCTAGGAGACCCAAGTTGTCTTTACTGTAGTCTACCAACAAAAAATCCGTTACATGGTGGAGAAGCGCGACGAACCGCCTTCCCCTCTCAAATTCAGCTGAAAACCTTATTCGGTCGTACCGAAACTCTTGCGCAAACCGAGATCCGCTCAGGTAGCTACTCGGAAACCTTTTCTCTCGTTTCGGAGACAGAACTTCACGAAACCGAGAATGATGCCGGTCGAACGCTCACCAACGCGAGGCCGCTCACCTGTGATCCAGACTCGTAGTCAGGGTCCTGCGGAGGACGTCGAAGTCCCTCCCGCAACACGCCCAAGGCGTTCAGGGACCACTTCCGTCGAACCGGAAGCCCCTAACTTGGCCACGATGGCCTCTGAAGTGGCAGCGTTAAAAGAAGACATTGCCCGCTCGACTGCTGCAACGCAGTTGGCAACTCAAAACCTTACGGAACAGCTTCATAGGCTTTCCGAACGTCAGACAGCGGCGGATGAGCGCCTCGCACGAGCCTTAGAAGCCCTAGCGCATCGCCCGCTGCCTGAACAACCTCCCATAGCACGAGCTACAAGAGAACGGTCCGCAACCCCGTGGGAAACGGCGGACACACCAAGGGAGCGTACCGAACCAAGTTTTTCAGGTGCGGTGCCTCCAATCCAAGTGCCAGCGGCCCCGTGGGCCAGCGACACCAAGGTCGATTCCTTGAAAGCAAAGGACGTACCCGAGTTTACGGGCAGAAGAAACCAAGACGTTGAAGAATGGCTTAACAAAGTCCAACTTCTTCAAAACGTTAGCGCAACGTCGGATGCCAGGATGGTACAGCTCCTACCAGCCATGATAGCCGAGAAAACCCCTGCTGACGCTTGGTTTTACACTCTGGAAGCCCAGGAAACTCGCTCATGGACCTGGAAAAGGTGGAAAGAGGAACTGCTTCGAGAGTTCCGAGATCCCCTAACCGAGTCCAAGCGCAAAACCGAATATGTGCGCTGCCATGCGAACCCCAAAGAATTTCGCAGCTTTCTCGCGTTCATCGACCACAAAACTCATCTCCGGCGCCTCGCTTATGGCGACCGGGCAAACATAGAATGTCCCGCTGACCAGCATTTCGACCTAATAGTCGAACAATTGCCCAGCGACATCCAAATCATGGTCAAATCCTGTAACGTCACGAACCTGACCAAATTAAAAGACTTCCTGCGCCTTTATTTCGGCTCTGATGACACCAGAAAACGAGACCCTTGCTACAGCGGTGCTGCAGAAGCTCAGAAGAAGTCACAAAAGACCGGAACCGACAAAGGCCCTAAGCAGACGGCTCCGCATAAAACCGGAAACCCCGAAAAGGGTCGCGATGGTCCTCAGAAGATGGTTCCGGACCCCAACAAGGAACCACCGGCACCCTGCAAATTCTGTCAGAAAAAGCATTGGAATGTTTTCTGCTGGCAGAACCCGAACCGAAAAGATCCTGAAGATGGAAAGAAAGGACCATATGGAGCACCCATGCCCTCAGGTTGGAAACCCAAACAGGAATCGAAGAAGGCGTACATAGTGGAGCTGGACTCGACGTCCGCTACCACCGAGACTCTTTTTTCGGCTTCGGAACTGGAAAGAACGGAAGCCGCTAAT